AGCGAGGCAGCTGAATGTTTCTCCAAGAGGCATATTGTTTTGACATTGACAAATCAGAGGTTGACGAGCAAAATGCTAAAACCTTATTAGACATCAAAGCTCACCTTCATCAATCTAAAACCAGTAGCAACTGCTGGCTTGCCTGGACTCAGTCTCCTCTAATGTTTCTGCTTGCCCCTCTTCTCATTCCCCTAAAATTGCTCTTCATGGGACTCACCACAGCCGCATGCCTTATCTCTTCCTTTGAGAAACTTTTCCACACTCAAATGCAAAAAAAATCTCCAACCAAATCTTTACCCAATTTCTTTCGCAGGGTCAGGAGCCTCTCCCAATCGCCCACTCCTCCCCTGACCACCTTGAGACCCTCCCCACCCCCGCCTAGAAAACACTGTCCAAATTCTGCTTGTAGCCCTGTCCCTACCAAGCCATTGTAACCTTGTAACCCTGACCCCAGCAATCTGCTGTGACCCCACAACACCATGCCTGACACCCCCAAACTATCAGGGCCCCCTCCCCTAATCATTGCCCACTGCCACACCATCAATCTCCAGTGGCCCCAGCAATACTATCCACCAATCCCTTGGAGTCCGCGACAGCCATCTCCACCAATCCTTCGTGACCCTGCACTCTCCAGTACCCACCCTCAGAGCATAAAATGGGCTCCTGTGTGTGCCTCACTCTCTGTGTCTGCGCCTGCCTCCACCCCCACCCCACTGGCCTTCATTCCTGCTGGAATAAAACCTCCTGCATGACATGCTATATCCGGTGTTTTGGTTCGCAGCAGCAAACTGAAAAGAGCTTATTCCAAAAAGAACTTAAACCAAAAAGGGCTTATACCAAAAGGAGTTAAACCAAAAAGAGCTAACATCACCAGCCTTGGGGAGCAAACTAGTGGACTGGATGATCTCTTTCTCTCTCTTCATCCTACCTCTCAGATAAATCTCTTTCTCTTGGTACAAAGCCATCATGGTACACAGTCATCATGCACCATGCAGAATGCTAATTTTACTCTTCATGACACAAGGGAAACATTCAAAAATACATTTAACAAAATAGAAATCCCTTGCCCATATATGGATATTAGTGTTTTCTTTATATGTCTTATGGGTCTTCTCAGATTACATAAGACTTCCATTTTTTTTTTTACAATCATAGTTCACTTCAAAAAACAATGTTCACTGGTTAGAAAAAAGATGCTGAGTTAAAGCAAGGTCTGATAAATAAGCAGTAAGGACATTTTCATTCTTCATTTTTGTTTAAATAACTAGAACTAGTTCTGTATCAAACTTTCAATTAATTGTAACTGTTTATAGTATTACAGATTAAATTATCACTGGCACTTTCTCAGACAGTAAGACAGTTTTCACAAACTTGAGTTTCAAAAAGGGCAAGTATATAATTAAATGGAAACTCTTAAATACTCTTGGGTGCATGTTAATTGGCTCAATCCCCAGGCCAAGAAACTTGGCAAATTGGTATTCATCAAAGGCCATAAAAATGTAACTACTGTTGCACTCCAAAATGACCTGGGGAGTCTACATTTGTGCATGAAGATGTTGTGTATTAAGATGTTATTTGAACTGTTTTTTCTATATGTGTAATATTTTTATTGATATTATAATGTACACACCATAAAATCCAGCCACAATTATGGTTTCCAGCATCTTCAGAGTTGTGTCTCCCATTAGCACAATCCATTTGAGGACATTTTCATCACCTTAAAAAAAAACCCAGCACCATGTAGCTGTTGCTCCCTACTTCATGGACCAATCGGACCAATCGCATGGCTGTCCTCAGCTGTAAGCATTGGCTACTATTCCTGTTGCTACACTTTTGCCTATATTGGACATGCATATAAATGGAACTGTTCCATGCTCTTGTGTGATTGGCTTCTTACATCTTACAGTACACAAGTCATTTCCTTTTTAAAACAAATTTTTAAATTGTATTTATTGATTTGTTAGAAAGCTCACAACCACTAGTTCACTCCACAGAAGCCCTCAATGGCTGTTACTGGGCCAGGCTGAATTCAGGTCTCCCAGGTGGGTGCAGAAACCCAAGTACTTGAGCCATGACCAGCTGCTTCCCACAGTGGTCACTTACAGGAAACTGGGCTAGGAAGCAGAACTGGGACTCAAAGCTAGGCATTCCAACATGCAATGTGGTGTTTTACCATCAGAAGAAACACCTGCCCCAGTACTTCCTCATTACACCCAGGTAATATGCAACTCACACCATCTTTGATTTGTGTGTTCTGCAGCTAATGGGTGTCTGTATGAGTTTTCTGTTGCTGTAATAAAATCCTTGTGACCAGGTAATTTATAATGAGGTTTGTTTGTTTTGGCACAGTTTTGTTACATCCAAGAGCATCATGTTAATATCTCTATGACTTCTTGTAAGTTTCCTAGCTAAAAGGGTGGGTGGGGAAGCTGTTTGCTGCAGCAGTTAAGATGCCAGCATCCTGGGACCAGCATGGTGCCTCAACAGGCTAATCCTCTCTACCTGCAAGCACAGGCATCCCAATACTGACCCTGGTGTATTTGCTGGCTGCTCCATTTATGATCTAGCTCCCTGCTTATGGCCTGGGAAAACAGTGGTGGAAGCCTCGGGTTATTGGGAAACCTGGAAGAGGCTCCTGACTGGGTAAGCTCAGCTCCGGCCATGGTGGCCATGTGGGAAGTGAACCTGCGGATGGTGTCTGCATCCAACATTGGAGTGTCCAACCCTGGCTTTCCCTCCAATCCCAGCTTTCTGGTAAAGGAAACCCTGCCGGGTGGGGCAGCAGGCGTTAGCCCCTGTGCTTGTGTCCCTGCCACCACGGAGGAGGCCTGGCTGGAGTTCTGGGCTCCCAGCTTCAGCCTGGCCTAGGCCCAAGCTGCCGCAGGCATTTGAAAGTTCAACTACAGGATGGAAGATCTGTCTTCCCTCTCTGCCTTTCAAATAAAATGTAACATATCCCAAGCCTCTATAAAAGAAAAAAATGGGGGGGGGGTGCGGACAGAGAGCCAAAGAGAATACCTGGAATACATGAAAACATGGTGGGGAAAGATGTGAGGAAACTGGATTTACTTTCTGCTGACTCAGTCTGTGGCAACAGGCTGTAGCAACAGACACTTGGGCTGTTTCGCTTTTTGCCCACTCTGAGTGACGCCACTGCGAACATGTACGTTCGAGGGTTTTATGTTCACTTCCGACGGGAACATACGTTAGGAGGATGTGTCTTCTTCACACAAGAGCAAAAAATCAGATGCCAGTTGGCGGTTGTGTATTAGCATTTTGCTCAACTCGCAGCAGGATTCTGCTGAAATGCCCTATACTCTCCAAAGTTTTATGCAGAAAAATGGTGGGCGGTGTTGGAGGACGACCAGGAACCCCTGCAGAAAGAGGCTGCCCCAAGCGAAGACGACGACGACGGAGCAAGAGCTAAACGCTGCCTGCCTGAACCCCCTCGCAGCTTCCTGGGGAGGTTCCGCACGTCCCTGCTCTGTCCTTGGGCGTGTGCCCACTGCCCCCGCCGCTGGCCTCGGCTCTCCCCGGATTCCATTCTCCAGAGGGTCAGCCACCCCAGTTTTCAGAGCGCCCGAGACCAGCAGCGCCACTGCGCCTTTCGTCTGGATCACATCTCGGCCCAGGGTTTCAAGTCTCCGCTCAAATGTCACTTCAGAGAAAAGCTTCCTTGAGCGCCGGCAGCAGGCCAGGCAGAGGGTTTCCATAGCAGCCTGCAGCTTTCCATCTTAACACTTCAGACGCTGCTGACCTGACACGGAACGCCTTGGATAGGGAGGTGGAGGATGCAACAAAACCTTCTGGATCCCTGCCATCTGGGACCTTACCTTCCAGGGTAGGGGGTGTGGGCCCGAGTAAACACACCGAGGCCCTGGGTAAATGGGGCTAACTGGTTAAGTGGTTCTGCCCAGTGTTTGGACTGCAAACTCCGGGAGGCCAGGCGCTATTTCCGGTCCTGGTTTTTCTGAGCCTTTGCAAGAGGAGTCTGGCAAATTAGGGGGGAGGGGGAGGAGAGCCAGTGAAACTCAGTGAAAAACATTAGGGTGGAGGGGGAAGAGATTTACACCGTCAGTTAAAATAGCCAAGTCAAAGAGAAACTGAAAACACACAAATGAGGCTATGTCAATAAACCCTTGAGTTTATTAAGCTTTCTCTTACTACATATCCCTTTTAAAATTAAAAAAAAAAATTTAAATCACCCTTTGGAGTCCTAGAACTCCAAATAAAACCTTTACGTCAGCACACACACTCATCCAGGACTTCGTCAGAAGACCTCAGGGCGCAATTGTCTCGCCACGGCACCAAGCGGGCTCCCGGCCGTCTCAGCGCTCCAGAGGCGGCCCGCGGGCAGCACCAGGACACGGTTCCCTCAGGACCGCCAGGCTTCTCGAACGACCGGAGACGCTCACCCACGCTGCTGTGCCAGCTGGCGGGGAGGGACCCCCTGCGAGCCTACTTACACGCCACTCTATTAGAAAAACAAACATGAAGTTTTTATTGCACCAGGCCAACAAAGACGGCCACACCTTCACACAACAGACCACCGCAGGAAGCTCTCCCGCCAGCCCCGTCCTCGGGCCAACCGTCCCGCTGCGGCTCCCCCCGCCCCAGGCCTCCCCAGGGGCGCATGCGCAGCGCACTCTCCGGCCGCCGCACGCCTCAGCCGCGAGCCCCGGCCCGCTGACGTCATCTTGCGACCGCTGAGAGGTCCTTCCGCTCCTCCAGGAAAAGGAGTCCGCGCATCTCGGGCCCACAGAGGGGGTCTCGCTGCGCCCGGCGCTATCGCCGACAACTTCCCCCTGCCCTTCTTCAACAGCCTGACGTTCGGGCCTCACTCTTCGCTGCGACCGCTGGGCGGAGGAGGCAGCGGAGCGGGAAGGGGGCGGGGCGGGCAGGCGGCCGCGGCGCCAGGGGGTTGTTTACAACAGCGAGCGCTGCCCGGGATCCTTCCGCGGGGGCGGAGCCGAGGCAGCCGGCACTTGGTCCTGCCCTCCCCTCCCTCCCCAGCCTTCCCCGCGAGCGGACGCGCTAGCGCCTCTGTCTCGCTTTTTCTTATTTTTCCCCCCCTTTTCCCCGCTTTTTTTTTTCTCCCTTTTTCTCCCCTTCCCCCCTTTCACCATTTCCCCTCGGAGGCGCTTCCCCCGGGCAGGGGCAGAGCCGGTCTCCCCCTCCGCCTCTCCCCGGCCCCCGCCGCCCTATGGCGAGAGGGAGCCCCCTCCTCACCCGGGCACCAGCGGCGGCGGTTGGAGGAGCGGGACCGGCGGCGGCCTCGGGTCCAGAGTCAGCATGGAACTAACTCGCTGAACGAGCCACCGGCCGCCGGCGTGCGTCCCGCTCCAGCGCCCGCTCCCCACTCCCCCGGCCCGGCTCCCCCTCTCCTCTCCTCCGCAGTCGGCCCGGTCCTGGCGTCGCGCGTCCCGAGCGTCGCGCGCTGAGGGAAAATGAGGTGGTAACGGGCCCCCGGATGACCCCGTGTCACCACTGTGAGGCCTACAGCTCCGCCGGGGAGGAGGAGGAGGAAGAGGAGGAAGCGGAGGAGAAGGTGAGGGGCCGGGGGGGAAGGGGGCTCGGCGCGGGGACGCGCCCTCGGCACCGGTCCTCGGCCGCGTTGGAGACCCTTTACCGGGCCAGCCGGTTATGCCATCGGCGAGTAACTGTAGCCACGGCAGGTCGCTGATGTGGTGCGCGATGTGGGCTCGGCGAACCCGGTGTGATACACAAAGAAGGGGACACGCCCCCCGCCCCCTCTCTTCCAGACTTTGAACGAACCCTTGGCATGCCTGTCCTTGCAAAGCCGAGTGGACATCCCCGCCAGTGCTGCGGAGGCTCGGGCGAGGGGCGCACGGCCTCCCCCTCCGGTGGAGAGGCAGCCGGGGTGCAGAGCGGCGGGGAGGGGGGCAGTGAGTTGCACCCTAAAAGGCAGGTGGGGAATACTGCGTTAGGCCGGCCCAAGAGCCCATGGAGAGAGCCGATGATTTTGGTAGAAGTTGAGGGTTGGTTATCCGGAGTCGTGAGAGCGATCCGTCCGGGAAATTGGAAGAATTGAGACCCCGGAAGGTGTTGGGATGGCGAGCTTTGTAGTGGGGGTTGGGAGGGCGCTCAGCTTTTGAGCATCTACACTCAGGACCGCTGAGTAGTTCCCCTCTCGTTCAGTGCTCCCAAGAACCGCTCGGGACAGGCTGTGGAATCTCGTTTTACCGAGGAGGAGAAGAGATTTCATTGGATGAAGTTGTTTGCCCCTTAGATAAATCGCCCAGAGTGGGTCTTGTGCACAATTCAGTAAACCTGTACCGGTTGCAATGGCTCAATTGGCTGATCTTTCCTCTTCAAGCGCCAGGATCCCTATAGGCGCCACTTCCCATCCAGCTCCTTGCTTGTGGCCTGGAAAAGCAGTCAAGGACAGCCCAAAGCCTTGGGACCCTGCACCCTCGTGGGAGACCCAAAAGAGACCCCTGGTTTCCTGGCTTTGGATTGGTTTAGCTTCTGGTTTTTGGGAAAGGTGGAATGAAGAACTGCCTTTTTTTTTTTCTGTGAATGTTTGTAGATTAAACAGTAAAACCGTCTGTGCAAGGGCTTACTGGAGAAAAAAAAGATAAAAATCTTCCCTTGTGGTTGACTTTCCCAGATAGCGGCCCTAGCCAGGGCAGGGCCAGCCAAGCCAGCAGCCTTCAATTCCCTCCAGGTCTCCCGGGAGTGGCAGAGGTCCAAGTGTAGGGCTGCTTGGGTTGCTCATATTTGTAAACCATATCATCTAAGTTGGCCAATTTATTTGCATAGTTACTCATTAAATTCCTATATGATTCTTTTTATTCCAATAGAGTGTCTCCTTGGATTCCTGATTTTTTTTTACCTTCTCTGTTTTTTCTCGGATATAGCTGAAGATTAGCAGTTTTTGATCTTTTTAAAGAAAAGTTTTACTGATTTTTTTTTTCCTGTTCTCTATTTCATTAATTTACACTCTAAGGTTTATTATTTCCTTGCTTCTGGCTTAAAGAGATAACTTGTTCTGTTTCAGTTGTCTTAAAGTAGAAGATATCTGAAATCTTTTTTTAAGGTATTGTCTTATGTGTTTGAATGGCAGAATTACAGTGAGAAAAGTGGCAGAGATCTTTGATCTGCTGGTTCACTCCCCAGGTGGCTGCAGTAGCTGGTCTGAAGCCAGGAGTCTAGACCCTCTTGTGGGTGATCCCATGTGGGGGCAGAGTTTCAAAGAGTTGGGCCATCGTTTTGCTGCTTTCTCAGGCCAATAGCAGAGAGCTGGATCAGAGTGGAGCAACTGGGAAACAGATCAGTGCCCTTATGGGATGCCAGCACTGCAGGCAAGGCTTAAACCCGTAGGCCCCAAGATGACTTTTTAATTTTTTTTTTTAAATAAATTTAAGGTTCTGAGCAAGAATGTGTCCCATCCCTTCAAAAGCATCAAGCCTCAGCACATAGTGAACTCTAACCAGCAATATACCTGAAAAAGTCAGGAGCTTTGGTTCACCATACGTGTTCTCTGAATTGTTAGTGTGGTGTGGCCTTCAGAAACATTCAGCTGTTTTAGTACAGCTAGCATTAATTTAAAAGAGGCAGAATGTTCAGTTATGTGTGAATACTTATCTAAAAGAGTTGCTGGTTCATTCGCCAAGTAGCTGCAACAGCTGGAGCTAAGCTGAGCCAGTCCTAAACCAGGAGCTGCTTCTGAGTCTCCCACAAGGGTGCAGGTGGGCCCAAGGGCTTTATCCCTCCTCTGCTGTTGTCCCAGTCCATAAGTAGGGGGCTGAACCAGAAGTGGGTAAGTCAGGGTTACAGAAAGAGAAAGCCCTCCAGCTGCTGGTGTACTCCCAGCTGGCTGCCATAGCCAACACTGGGCTGGGCAGAAGCCAGAGCTTCATCCTAATGTTCCATAATGTTGGCAAGTAGTTGAGCCGTTTTCCATTGCTTTCCCAGGTCATTAGCAGGGACCTGGTTTTGAACCAGTGCCCAAGTGGAATGCTGCCTTTATCCACTACACCACAACACCGGCTCGCATGCGCGCTCTCATATATATATGTATATGGTGAGAATTCTTAAAATAACTGATAATTATAACAATATAATGTTTTAAAGAGCTATAAAATCTTATATTACCTCATAACATTTTTGTTTCTGTTTTACGAATTGCTTAATAAATGCTAACATATTTATATGCATATATTGCTACACTTATTCTGTAATTAAGCTAAAAAGATGATTTATGTTTGATTTTATAGGTAGCTACATCAAGCTGGGTGGCAGGCAGCTCCAAAGGATATCATGAAGTTTCCAGGACCTTTGGAAAACCAGAGATTGTCTTTCCTATTGGAAAAGGCAATCTCTAGGGAAGCCCAGATGTGGAAGGTGAATGTGCCGAAATTACCTACAAATCAGGTAAAGTTTTCCCTATTTATTCCATAGTTTTATTACAAATAGTGTACTGGTGCCATATGTAACTATGGGTATCTTGACAACTAATTGGTGAAGTGTCTACCATTAAGTGCTGTGTTTTTTTTTGAGAAACATCTCCTTGTTTCTTTATGAAACAAAATGAGTTAACCTTTTCAAAAAAAAAAAAAAAAAAAGCACAGGAAGAGAAAGACAATCAGAATGAGCCTCCCTCCACATGTCCTCAAAGTGACTGAAGCCAGGAGCCAGGAACTGCATCCTGGTCCACATGTGGCAGGAACCCAGTTACTGGGCCATCATCTCTTGTCCCCAAGAGTACACATTGGCAGGAAATTGTAGGCTGGAGCTGGAGCTGGGAATTGAACCTTGGTACTTTGATGCTTTGTTGATACTTGATACTTTGTTTGATACTTGGTACTTTGGTACTTTGTTGTTTTGTTTTCCTGTTAGCTTAGTTATGTATAGCTTTAGCTTTATGCTTATGTTCATTATATGATAGTTATATACATGTCCCTTTTTGAAGAAACTTAGTTATTTGAAAGGCAGAGTTACAGAGAGAGAAGAGCCAGAGACTGAGAAGAAAGAGAAGTCTTCTATCCACCGGTTCACTTCCCATATGACCACAAAGCCCAGAGCTGGAGGTTGGTTGGTCCAGAGCTAGGATCCAGGAACTTCTTCCAGGTCTCCCACCCGAGTGCAGGGGTCCAAGTAATTGAACCATCCTCTGTTACCTTTCCCACTACATTTGTAACAATGTTTCCTTTCTTTAAAGTCTAATATTAGGAGGCTTCAACGTTTGTGGAAAAATGATATTACAAGTTCTTAGAATTTTTCCATAGCCATTTTGAAGCCTCTTGTAGTGAGCTTTTATTTCTACATGCACATAATATGACGTGCTTTCCAAAAGTTCATGGAAATTACATTATCTTATTTCCCACAATTTTTTTTTAAGATTTATTTTATTTTTATTGGAAAGGCGGATATACAGAGAGGAGAGACAGAAAGGAAGATCTTCCATCCGATGATTCACTCCCCAGGTGGCCCCAACAGCTGGAGCTGAGCCAATCTGAAGCCAGGAGACTCTTCCGGGCTTTTGCAGGGTCCCAAAGCTTTGGGCTGTCCTCGGCTGCTTTCCCGGGCCACAGGCAGGGAGGGAGCTGGATGGGAAGCGTGGCTGCCGGGATTAGAACCGGTACCCATATGGGATCTTGGGCGTGCAAGGCGAGGACCTTAACTACTACACCGTTGCACCGGGCCCCCCCCACAAATTTTTTGCAGTATGTCTTATAGTTAGCCAGGGAGGATGAACATTTTGATACCATTGTCTTTTTATTGTTGTCATTGGAAAGGCAGAGTTTCTTCCAAGTCTCTCACATAGGTGCAGGTCCCAAGGCTTTTGGCCATTCTCTGCTGCTTTCCCAGGGCATAAGCAGGGAGCTGGATCTGGAGTAGAGCACTCGGGACATAAACTGGTACCCATATGGGATGCTGGTACTTGTAGGCAGTGGATTAGCCAGTAGAGTCATTAACTGGCCCTGGTACCAGTGACTTTACTTAACAAAAAGCACCCTTAGGAATAATAATCATGTCATGAACTTTGCAAAAGTTTATATGAGTTGAATCATGTATCTTTTTATCCCTAGTGCTTATCAAGAAATTTTTTTTTTAAAGTTTACATGGATGAATGTATTGCCACGTATCTTAAATTGTGTATGTTGTTTCAGGTTATCGCTTACACAGAGAGAGAGAGATGGAGGGATATCTTCCATTCACTTACTCATTCTCTAAAAGTCTGCAATAGACAGGGCTGGGCCAGACTGACGCCAGAATCTGCATCTGGGTCTCCTGAGTGGGAGGAAGGGGTGCAAATACTTGTTCTGTTGCCTTGTAAGTAATAGTGACAGAAATGCTTCCAGAAAGCAGAGTTGTGACTTTATCACAAGCACTCACTGGGCTACCAGGCCTGGCCCTGCAGGAAGCATTTAATGTGATATCTCTAGCAATTCATCATTTAATCTTGTGAAATCAATATCCTCAAGATTTTAGCTAGTGAGTAATGCAGTTACAATTTGAACCTTTTTCTGAAGTAGTTTACTTGTAATTATACTTTTTTTCTCCTGTATTTTTGTGTTCCTGTATGTGATTTTGTACATCGTTTGGTGATTCATTCATTTCAGCATATGCTGATTGAATATCTCTTATATTCTAGCACCTCTTCTGGGTATTGGGGATAGAGCAATAGAAGTAGCAAACTCCTGCCATTGCCTTACAACCTTCTACTGAGCCTCATCTTTTTTGAAACTGCATTTATAACCAGCCCTTTCTTCTTTCTATTGTTTGAGTCGGCACATAACCAACAATAGTATACTTGCAGTACATGATTGCATTACCATTTAATCTGACCCAGTCCTGTAGGTGATTGAATTCATGTTAGTGAGGTCATTGCAGAATGTCTAGGGGAGGAACCTAACATTTAACAACTTGCTGTGAGTTACAGCAAGCAGAAGCCATACTGGATGTTGATAAATTTGGGTCTGGTTGAGATAAAATGGAAAGGGTAAAGAGATGTGGAGAGGACTTGAGCTCTTCTGGAGTGACCCCAAGGAACAAGTACCTCTAATCATTCTAACTCCTCCTTTTTCCTCCACTGCTCTCCTGGACTGGTGTTTTTACTTGGTCCAGTTTATACTTTTTTAAAAAAATCTATATCTACCGTACTGTATAGTCAGACAAGAATATTAAACACCTGTCACTTCACTGTCACCTTATACACACACACATATATGTATATATTAAGAATTTTTTGAAGGGTGCAAATACTTGTTCTGTTGCCTTGTGGCAGCGTGGCCTAGCAGCTAAAGTCCTTGCCTTAAACGCGTCGGGATCCCATATGAGTACTGGTTCTAATCCCAGCAGCTCCACTTCCCATCCAGCTCCCTGCTTGTGGCCTGGGAAAGCAGGATGGCCCAAAGCTTTGGGACTCTGCACCTGTGTGGGAGACCCTGGTTCCTGGCTTCGGATCAGCACAGTACTGGCCGTTGCAGTCACTTAGGGAGTGAATCACCGGATGGAAGATCTTCCTCTCTGTCTTTCCTCCTCTCTGTATATCTGACTTTGTAATTAAAAAAAATTCTTTTTTTTTTTTTGAAAGATTTATTTGTATTGGAAAGACAGATATATGAGAGAAGGAAAGATAAAGATCTTCATCCAATGATTCACTCCCCAAGTGGCTGCAACAGCTGGTGCTGCGCCATTCTGAAGCCAGGAGCCTCTTCTGGGTCTCCCATGTGGTTACAGGGTCCCAAGGCTTTGGGTTGTCCTCGACTGTTTTCCCTGGCCTGAGCAGGGAGCTGGATGGGAAGTGGGGCTTCCAGGATATGAACCAGCGCCCATATGGCATCCCGGTACGTGTAAGTGAGGACTTCAGCCCCTGGGCTACTATGTTGGGCCCCTTTCCAGGACTTTTTCTTAAACAATTTATTCTTCTATTAATTTATTTGAGATAGATGGAGAGAGAGTTCCGATTCACAGGTTCATGCTGCAAATGCCCACAACAGCTGAAGCTAAGCCAAGCAGAAGCCAGCAACTGGGATTTTTATTATAATTTTAGGATATAGTTCCTTAGGTTCTGGGATTTCCCTTGCCCTCTACCCAAACCCTTCCCTGCGCTGGATAATAGCAGAGAGTTCAGCATCCTGTTGAGATCTATTTAACGGTTTTGTTGGGAGCCCATCTTTGAACTGGAATTCTTTTCTTTCTTTCTTTCTTTCTTTTTTTAAATTATTTATTTGAAGGTCAGAGTTGGGGGGGGGTAGAGAAAAATATCTTCTATCTTCTAGTTTACGCCCCAGATGGCTGCAGTGGCCAGAGTTGGCCCAATCTGAAGCTAGGAGTTGCTTTTGGTCTCCCATGTGGGTATAGGAACCCAAGCACCTGGGCCATCCTCCGCAGCTTTCCCAGGCACTTTGGCAGGGAGCTAAACTGGAAGTAGAGCAGCTAGAACTTCAACTGCACTCATATGGGATGCCAACCCTCTAAGTGGCAGCTTTACACACTATGCCACAGGTCTGGCCCCTATTTCAAGGAATTTATTAATTTGAATTGTCAATTTCTGTAAAATTGCCCATAGTGTGTTGCAGTTTTTTAGTATTGATGGAAATCTTTTCATGTCTTGCTTGATTAGTGTTTTCTTCTTTTATTCAGTCTTGTTTAAGTTAATAATTTTGTTGATTTTTCTGTTGTAAGTTTTGTATTTTTAAAGAAATGTTTTACTCTTACTTTTTTTTAGAATGCATTTGTTTGTTTAAAAGTCAGAATTAAGGAAAGGGAGATCAGTCCTGCATCGCTTGGTTCACGCCACAGATTGCCACAACATTTTTGATTGAGGACCAGACCAGGCCAAAGCCAGAAGCTTCCTCTAGGTCTCCATGTTGCACCCTGGGTTGTCCTCTGCTGCTTCTCCCAGGCCGTTAGCTGTGAGCCAGAAGAGAACCTATACCATTGTGGTATGCTGGAACCACAGGTGATGGCTTACCTGCTGGACACTCTGGCTCTTCAGTGATTTCTTCCAGTTGAAATTGACTGTTTCTTATGATAGATGGTTAAGTGGTTTCTAGCTTTTCTTCTTTTTAATGTATGCATTTAGAGCTATAAATTTTCCTTAAAGCATAGCTGACTAGCCATGTGTAATGTTACATTTACACACTGCGTTCTTAACTTAAATTTTTTAGTTCTAGTAATTTTCCTCTGAATTTGGAGGTGGAGTGGGCTTCATTTCTCTAATGAAATTCTTTCTTTTCATCTGTTTTCTTTTTTTCCTGTTTTCTTGTACATTAAGTCCTTACAGTATTCTCAATATTTCTGCCATCTGTTTTCTTGTATTCTGTTTCTTGGTTCTGTCTCTTACCGTTCCTGATCATTTTTGATTCAGTCCTGAACACTGTAAAAATTGTACCATTCTTGAGCACAGCACCCTCTATGTAGCATGGAGGATCCTGTGTCCTTCCATTTGGGTTGGACCTGAGCTGACTGAAGGGCGGGTAGCAGCTGGCTTGGGTATCATCTTCCTCTGGTTTGCCCCAGTTAGTACACTCCAGTCAAAGATTCCAATTCAGATTTTGGAATAATCACCAGGGTGTTTTAATTCCTAAAGGATGTTGAACTGTCTTTGAACTGATTCTTGTTTTTCAGAGGTTTTCTGTATAACCTCTTAGATCTCTGTTCTATCTACCTTCAGATTTTCATTCAGAAATTCAGCTGTTATACTCTGAACACTCTGTTTTCTTAGTAAGTTCTTCACTGTAAGTCTCTAGCTCTGAAAAGGTGTGATAATTTCTTCTTAGCTTCTTGTTCTACTCACAAGATGGGCAAATACTCTAAAGCAAAAGCACCTACAAATGTTGAATTCATCTCTTATCTCCTTTTCAAAATCCTGCCCCCTTAAGGTCTTGTGGGTGGTCCTAGCAGTTGTGGCCCCTTTAAAAACAGATTGCTATAGCTTCTCTACTTGTTGTCAGCCAAATGTGTAGGTTTGCTGAAATCTGTTTCATTATAGCCAAAAGCAGAAGTTTTAAAATAATTATTGGAAAGGCAGATCAGATTTATGGAGAGGAGGAGAGAGAAGGATCTTCTGCTGTTGGTTCATTCCCCAAATGGCTGCAACAGCCGGTGCTGAGCCAATCCGAAGCCAGGAGCCAGGAGCTTCCTCAGAGCCTCCCACATGGGTTCAGGGTCCCAAGGCTTTGGGCTGTCCTCAGTTGCTTTCCCAGGATGGGAAGTGAAGCAATTGGGACACAAACCAGTGCCCATGTGGGATCCCAGTATTTCCAAGGTGAGGACTGAGTTTTTGTTTGTTTGTTGTTGTTGTTTTATTATTACATTTTTATACACCTGGTGGGAGAGTTGTGTTTTGTTTTTTAAAGATTTATTTATTTGAAAGAGACTTGAGACAGACACCAAGATCTTCCAGCTGCTGTTTCATTCCCAAATGGTAGCAGCAGCCAAAGGCTGGGCCAGTCTAAAGTTAGTAGCTTCTTCCAGGGCCCCACATGGTTCTGCGGCCCAAGTTCTCAGCCCATCTGCTGCTGCTTTCTTAAAGGCACTTTAGCAGGGAACTGAATAGGAAGTGAAACAACCACAGAACCTGCCCAGCAGGATAGCAGAGGATGGCCTAGCTGGTCAGGTCCCAGCCACTCAAATGGAATGCCTGGTTCTAGGCTGGCTCTGACCAGGTTTGTTTGGACCAATCGGGAAGTAAACTAAATGCACAGGAGTTTGATCTGTGTCTGTCTCACTGCCTTTCAGTAAGTGTTTTCAAAAAGAAAGACAAGTCAGCAATAAATTGGGTTTGAAGGAAGGTGTGATTTTTGTAGCCCATAGGAAAAGAGCCACTTTGTAAGCCTGTGAACTACACTGACAGAAAGGGAATGATGTCCACTCTGGGCAGTGACAGTTACGCTTATTGGACTTGCAAAGGAAATCAAGATGGGTAGAGATTATTAGAAATTAATACCTAATAAGCAAACAATTTTATAAATCAGAATGGCAGCAAATTTAAGGCAGTTTATGGAACTAAAGCCATATGTTTGATGGAGTCTAGATGCACAGAGATAGAGTATATATCCTACAAACTAATTCTCATAAGATAGAAGGAACTTAAGTCAGGCTATTAAAACCAGAATTAGAGGGGCAGATGTTTGGTACAGTGTTCAATTGCTGTTTAGAATGTTAACATCCCTTACAGGGATGCACTTCCAGAATGCCTCTGCTTCTAACCCAGCCTCCTGTTAATATGTCCTCTTGGGGCTTACGTAGTTGGACCCCTATTGACTGTTGGAAGACCTAAATTTAATTCCAGGATGTTGGCTTTGGGCTGGCCAAGGCCTGACTTACAGATATTTGGAGAGTGAACCAGTGAGTGGAAGACACTCTAGTGTATCTGTGATTTCAAAAAGCTAATAAAGCCCAGAATTTTTCTCACAGTCTCAAAAAAATTGCAAAATGCCAATGTCAGGAACTAGACATTGGGAAATGAGAGGAAGCAATACAACCTAACAGCCAGGATCATGAGCGTGACCGCTGGTTCCAGAGTATCTCTTAGTTTCATATAGCCTTTTTTTTTTAGATTTTTTTTTTAATTGGAAAGATTTACAGATAGAAGGAGAGACAGAAAGATCTTCCATCCACTGGTTCACTCCCCAAGTGTGTGCAACAGCTGAAACTGAGCCAGTCCGAAGCCAGGAACTTTTGGATCTCACACTGGTGCAGAGTCGCAAGGCTTTGGGCCATCCTCTGCTGCTTTCCTAGGCCACAAGTAGGGAGCTGGATGGGAAGTGGAGCTGCCAGGGTACAAACCTGTTCCCATATGCGATCCCAGTGGTTTGTAAGGTGAGGACTTTAGCCACTAGGCTACTGCACAGGGCCCTCCTTTTTTTTCCCTCTTCATATGGTTTCTTTTTGTTTGTTTGTTTTTAAGATTTGTTTTACTATTTTTATTGAAAAGTCATATACAGAGAGGAGAAGAGACAGAGAGGAAGATCTTCCACCCGATGATTCATTACCCAAGTGACCACAATGGCCGATGCTGCACTGATTCAAAGCCAGGAGCCAGGAATTTCCTCCAGGTCTCTCCCATGCAGGTGTAGGATCCCAAGGTGTTGGCCTGTCCTCACCTGAATTCCCAGGTCACCGGCAGGAAGCTGGATGGGAAGTGGGGCTGCCAGGATTAGTACTGGCGCCCATATGAGATCCTGGTGTGTTCAAGGCGAGGACTTTAGCTGCTAGGCCACTGTACTGAGCCCTCCATATAGTTTTGGAGGGTACTTTGAAATTTACCTCTGAACAAAGGGTTTGCAGGAATCCTTGGGCACCAGACAAATGAGGGCAGCCATGAAACTTCTAAATGGAATTAAGTACTCAAGACGAACTAAAATTCTACCACTGCTTTTGTCTAAATTCCAAATACATGAAAGTGTTGTTACGTATGACACACCCAAAAAGCAACAGTAAACTTACCGAAGGGAAGTTAGAAGGGTCATGTATTCTGATGAAACTTTTAGGGAGAAGAACAATATAGGAGGAACAATAAGAATTTAGAATACAATGAATTCCAGCTGTAGATGTGTCAAATACAGTGGGAAAGTATGGCAGAAAAAAGATGACAAGAATATCATTATTTGACATTTGACATTAAACAACATAGATCGATGTTGTGGCATAGAGAGTAAAGCTACCACATGCAATGCCATCATCCCCTGTAGGTGTTGGCTGTTGCCCCAGCCGTGTACCTCTCCCTCTGTGTGTGACTCTTCTGAAATACTTTCACTGAGAAGTGAAATGAGAGGAAGGGAAGAAAGAGAAATTGGAATAGTGAGAAAGGAAGTTGGTAGAAATTGTAGCAGATGTTACAGTGAGCAGCAAATTATGTATTCCCTGTCTGCTAGAGAAAGCTGAGAGCTTTCCACTGAGATACATGTTTGTGAAGAACATTACATGACCCTTTCTACTTTAGTAGTTCCTTACGCACCTTAGAAGAAAAAAATTCATAAATTTCATAAAATCGATCCTTAATGAACAAGAACATTTAAGACAGTATCTTCCTTAAAGGTTTAAGTGATTGGGGCTAATGTAGTAGTGTAGTCTAGGGTTAAGCCATGGCCTGCAACACTGACATTCCAAATGAGCATTAGCTCAAGTCTCACCTGCTTCGGATCCAGCTTCTTACTCATGTTCTTGGGAAAGTAGCAGCAGACCCAAATGCTTGGACCAAATGCTCCTTGCACTCCTGTGCAACCCAAGGGGACTCCTGGCTTTGGCCAGGCCAGTCTTAGCTGTTGGAGCCATTTAGGAAGTGAATCCGTGAGTGGAGGATATCTCTGTCCCTCCCTCCTTGCCTCTCTGTAAAACTGCCTTTCCAAGTCTTAAAACGTAACTACTGTCTACCTGACAATAGGTTTTTTGATTCCCTGAGCTCCTGATTCTAGCTGCCTGCTAATGTGTACCCTAGCCAGCTGGTGATGGCTCAGGTCCCTACTCCCATGTGAGAGATGTACACTGAGTTCAGTGTACTGGCTTTGGCAATGCCCAGCTCTGAATGGTTATGATTGGCATTTGGGGAGTAAACAAGTAAATGGAGGACATTTCTATTTCTGTATCTTTCATTTTAAAATTAAAAGATTCTTTTATGTCAAAAGACAAATGCATTCTTTGAAACAAACTGATTCTAGTGAGATGAAATAGTAAAGAGTTTAGAAAGAAGGGATGACCTTTGGCTGTGGTATTAAGTACAGCTACTGCCATGTAAATTTATCTTCAATTCTTTTACAGGTTTTGAATAACCTTAAGGGCATGTTCAAGACAACACGTTTTCTAGAGTATTAACTAGCCTTTTATGAGAGAATTGTGAACATACTTCTGATGATAACCTGATGTTTTAAATTTTATTTCTGTGTAATTGTTCCCTTATAGAATGTTTCTCCATCCCAGAGAGATGAAGTAGTTCAGTGGCTGGCCAAACTCAAGTATCAGTTCAATCTTTACCCAGAAACATTTGCGCTGGCCAGCAGTCTTTTGGACAGATTTTTAGCTACTGTAAAGGTAATTATTTTAAGATGACTCTTACATATTACCTGTTGTTTGAAAGTTTATATTATGTGCTAAGCCAGGTAATAGAATTGGATTATTGGATTCTATGTTGTTAGTAAATATGCTATCAATGGAAAGTATGTAGAAGATGTATATACTTATAAGACATGGTATTTTCTGTTCTTTAAATTTTTAGAAGCATTTTTAACTGCAGTCTTTTTTGCAACACATTAAAATTCATAATTGGGATGCAGTGTTTTTCATCTCTTGATTTTATACAAATCACATAGCATTTGTAGACTGTTAGTCATCTTAGGATGAGTATTGATGCACTAGACAGTCACATTAGCAAATATGTCTATTGCACATGTCTCACTAGTACTACTTACTAAATACATTGTTTTTATGAACAATATATAAATACTTTCTAGGGGTAAATTTTGGAATATTAACAGAATGTCAAAACTTTAGTAACTTTGTTGAAAAGCAGCAAACATATTAATACATGTTGTATTATTCCTTTTGCTAAGATACATATTGACTGTTATGTTAACTTGGTAAGCCCTCAGTGAGTTTAAAACAGAAAGCATTTCTCTAATGGCTAAGCATGAAAGAAAAGTAGTTCAACCATAGCCATTTTTATATGTAGTGGTATGTAAACTTGGGGAACTCCAAATTAGAGGCCTTTATTTGGCATAGAAACAGCCCTAAGAATTATGGAGTGTCAGTTGGATAGCCACTCAGGTACCGCTTATTTCAGATTTATATTCTTACAAGACTGAGAACAATTAATTGTAATAATGCTGACTGCCTGAAATCTGAGTAATCTGAAAAACCCTTTATCTCAAGCCTGGCATAGTAGCCTAGTGGCTAAAGTCCTCACCTTGAACGCACCAGGATCCCATATGGGCACTGGTTCTAATCTTGGCAGCCTCACTTCCCATCCTGCTCCCTGCTTGTGGCCTGGGAAAGCAGTTGAGGACAGCCCAAAGCCTTGGGACCCTGCACCCACGTGGGAGACCTGGAGGAAGTTCCTGGCTCCTGGCTTCGGATCAGCTCAGCACCGGCTGTTGCAATCTTTGGGGGAGTAAATCTTCGAATGGAAGATCTTCCCCCTGTCTCTCTTTATATCTTTTTTTTTTTTAAGGTTTATTTTTATTATGTTTTTATTGGAAAGGCGGGTATACAGAGAGGAGAGACAGAGAGGAAGATCTTCCGTCCGATGATTCACTCCCCAAGTGAGCGCAACGGCCGATGCTATGCCAATCCGAAGCCAGGAGCCTCTTCTGGGTCTCCCACACAGGTGCAAGGTCCCAAAGTTTTGGGCCGTCCTCGACTGCTTTCCCAGGCCACAGGCAGGGAGCTGGACGGGAAGTGGGGCTGCTGGGATTAGAATCGGTGCCCATATGGGATCTCGGGCTTGCAAGGCGAGGACCTTAACCACTTGTGCCACCGTGCCGGGCCCTCTCTTTATATCTTTTTGATAAAATTTTTTTTTTTAAATGTTAAAAAAAAAAAACCCTTTATCTCAGCAACAAATTCCCATTTTCCTCCATGAGAGCTAACTGATTATTCTGCATAAAAGTGAATTTTTGTGTCCTTTCTTGATGGTATATTTTTCAAAGTTAATGCAACACTCATTGTAGCTTTTCTTAGAAAAGATGAAGATGTAATCAATAGAATACTATATGTGGAGGTGCTTTCAAACCCATACTGATGTAACAGTAGTTAATCTAAAACATTGATAATATTAAACCATCTTCTATATGCCATGTGGATAGCAGAGTGGAAGAGAGTCCACTTAGACTGAGACAGTGGTCATTGGCCAATTAAGTATAGCAAATGTTGAAGCAGGCTTTACTGGTTTTAGTTTTTATTGTCTGTGCATTATCTCATTTACTTGGTACTTTATATAAATGAACTAAATTGTTCTAATTGCTTCATTGGAAGACATGCTGAAAAGTGTCTTACAGGAATTTTTTTAAATAGGAAAACAGACAAAAGCATTTTCAGTGTGTTTTCAAACTTGGGAAAGAAAACTGTTTTCTACTAATCTGTTTAATTTTGGAAATATTGTTTATTAAATAGAAACTTGTTTTCTGAAATCAGGCTTTTCTCTCCTGGGTAGAAATTACCTCTGGCTAGCTAGTCTTGGTTGAGTGTCCAATAAAATTATGTTCATTGTTTCCAGCATATCATGTGGCTGGGATTGTGATATTAAAAGTTAACTCATCTAGTAAGGAATGGATCTAGAAATGTATTCTGTAGAACAGTGTGCATTCTTATCTCTTTTTAAAACAGTATGCCCTTGGACATCACTGTTTTACCCCCTCTTCAAATTTTAGGCCCACCCGAAATATTTGAGTTGTATTGCCATCAGCTGTTTTTTCCTAGCTGCTAAAACTGTTGAAGAAGATGAGGTAATAATTCCTTTCAAGATTAAACATGTTTCTGTTTCGAAAATTTTGGTTGACTATCCTATTGTTTGACAAAAGCAAAAATGAGTTTATTCTTTGTCTTCCCTGCCCTTACTCCTGTTTGCTCTCAATAGAGAATTCCAATATTGAAAGTATTGGCAAGAGATAGTTTCTGTGGATGTTCCTCATCTGAAATTCTGAGAATGGAGAGAATTATCCTGGATAAGTTGAACTGGGATCTTCACACAGCCACACCATTGGATTTTCTTCACATTGTAAATATGCACGTTTAAGTCTTTCAGGTTCTTACTTGAATCTGTAGTGTGCTTCAGTAATTTGAAACATATATAGAGTGCCATACATTTATTTTGTACTGCTTTTTAGGAAAATCACAAAAATTAGTCAAGAAAAATTAGAAATTCAGATATTTGTCAAATTACTGAAACTAACATTGCAAGCTTAGAAATCAAGTAATATGTAAGGGACTCTCATCAGGTTGCTTTTGTTGTTTTTTGTTTTTTCCTTGTTCCCCCAGTTCCATGCCATTGCTGTGTCAACAAGGCCACAGTTACTGTTCAATTTGCCCAAACTGAGCCCATCTCAGCATTTGACCATCCTCACCAAGCAACTACTTCATTGTATGGCCTGCAGCCACCTTCTGCAGTTCAAAGGATCCATGCTGGCTCTGGCCATGGTTAGTTTGGAAATGGAGAAACTCATTCCTGATTGGCTTCCTCTTACAATTGAACTGCTTCAGAAAGCACAGGTAGGGATCAGTCTAAGCATGAAGGATTTTTCCTAATAGAATACATGTGATTATCAGATGATTCTTATCTTAAAATGGTGTGTCATTCTTAATTGTAACAAGTTTGTGGAGTAGTTATCTTTTTGTCTGAAAACATTTAATTTTCTTGATTCTTCTAAATGCTAAACTGATTGTGTATAAGAATTTTAAAAAGTTAACAGTGTATTCCTTTAGGTTTATGTAAATAAGCCTCAGGCTATGTTTTCATGTGTTCTCTGTTTCATTCTTTAATAAAAAATGAAAACAACTTTTATTTTTCAAGTTGTTTAGACAAGCTAATCATTTGCTGGCTAGCAAGTGGAAATTTTGTGCAGACCCTGACAGAAGCTATCTTTCTGAAAGATTTTTTTCCTAGTGTTTTCTATGCTTTAAATTAATTCATATATTTTGTCTGCTGTTATATAATAGGTTGATAAATTATAAGCAAGCTCAGTCAAGATACTTAGTAAAATTCTTACCTAAGTAGAAAGGTAATAATAGGGGCTATATGTTAGCACCTGCTTTAAGAAAAAGCTTTTTCTTCTCATATAGCAAAATAAAACTAGCTGTATGACACAATGCTCATTGAGCCCATGAGCCTACTTTCTTTGCCTTTTTGGTGGCTTTGTTTATTTTCATTCAGCAGTAGGTTGTCTGAGTTTCATTGGATTTTACTTAGCTTAAATTCTAAGCTTAAAAATGTTTTGACTAAAAATACTAATTACAACAAACTGTCATTTTATAGTAAAATTTTAGAAAAAATACTACTTACTTAAATGTATTTTTGTAAGATGGTTAATAGATGTGAGCTAAGATGTGTTAAAGTATCTCTGGTCAGCATTGTGGCATAGCAGGTAAAGGCACTGTGTATGATGCTGGCATCCCTTGTGGGCACTGGTTCATGTCTCAGCTCCTCCACTTGTTACCTGGCTCCTCCACTTGTTACCTGGCTCCCTGCTAATGGCCTGGAAAAAGCAGCTGAAGACAGCCCCGAGTAGTGTTGGACTCCTACCTGAGAAAGCTCTTGTTTCTTGGCTTTCAGAGGAGTGAACTAGGGGATGGAAGATCTTTCTCTATAAGTAAGACTTGATGGAGTCTTCCTAAAAATCATTTCATTCAGTCTTTTATTTTATAGCTGCAACTTAAGGAACCTGAGGTTTTCTTAGCATCACCTACAACTGCTTAGTAGTGAAGAAGCCAGGAACTATTTCCATGTCATACAAAACTGTACAGATGTGGATTTTGAGAGTTTTTCTGTAGAAATGGGGGCGTTTTCCTTACTTTCCCCAACCAGAATCTGATACACACAAGCCCAGAATACAAAGTAGAAAAAGAGCAAAATGTTTTCAGTGTGGTCTTTTCTCTTGATGAGCTGTTTGGATGTAGTCTGAAACACTGTTCCATTTCCTCATGTACCTGTATAAGTATTTATTTACAATATGATATACACAATAAGGATACAATGATTTTATTTAAGTTCTCTTGATCCATCCAGTATTCCAGTTGCAGTGGGAGGATAGTGAGCAAAGTAAGGTCACAAAACTTGGTAGACTTTGGATTCAATCTTACAGCTCTGCTCTAAAGCCATCTTGGGCTGTAAACTAACCCTTATAGTCCAAATGTCATGATTCCTGGGTTTTTAGAACTTAGCTCTGTTTTTGAGAAGTTAACCTCTGTTCAGGTGGGAACCCCATGTCTAATCTCTTTGTAATTACCTTGTTTATGTGTTATTTTTGTTTAAGATTTATTTATTTTGTTGGAGAGATCGGCTTGACAGAAAGATATTTATCTGATGGTTCACTTTCCAAATGGCCCCAGTGACTGAAGCTGAGCCAATCTGAAGCCAAGAGCTTCTTCTGGGTCTCCCATGTGGGTGCAGGGGCTCAAGGCCTTGAGGATTCTGCTGCTTTCTCATGCCATAAACAGGGAGCTGGATGGGAAGTAGAGCAACTGGGACAAGAACCAGTGTCTATGTGGGATGCTGGTACTTGCAGGCAGAGGATTAGAGGGGTAATGGACAGCTCAACTCTAACCTTTCTTTTATAGGATTCTGAAAGTATTGACAGAAGCTTCATTTCTTCTCTGTGCCTTACTGGTCAAGTTTATTTTACATCCCTGGGGGCAGAGAGAAGATCTAACATACAGTGGTAGTGAACTTGATAGTGGTAGGACAAATTTGATATCAGTTAATAGTTTCTTACCCATAATATCTAGGGACTGTCAAACAAAATAGTAAATATTAATGTCTGCTGCTTGCATTTCTTATTTTGTGTTTCTGGGATTTACATTTGTACTACCTAGTGAACAACACCAGCCCTTCATCCTTGTTCTGCTGGTTAATTCTCAGTTAATAAGTGAAAATAATAGCAAATGCATATAATTTTCCTTTTTTTTTCCCTCTGTGATATACCAATTATAGAGAGATATAAGACTTAAAACATGTCCAAAATACCCATAAAATATAGCAGCTTGGGTAAAAGATGATTCCTGATAGTTAAATGATCAAGATAGACTTCCTGAAGGTGGTGACCTATATAGCCAGTCCTGGATGAAATGGGTAATACTTTTTGAAGAGGGAGAAACAGGATGAAGGATGATGTACACATATATATTTTAAAGATTCATTTAAAAGAAAAAGAGATCTGCTGTAGCAACAGGAGGGAGTTCCAGGGAAGGAAAGACCAGTATAAACTTTAAAAGGGAAGGAATGGAGAACACAAAGTTGGGGTGTGTTAGGAAAGAAGGCTGGGGTCATGTTATGGAGGCTTTGTTAATACCAGTGCTAATAAAGCAGCTTATTAGCTTGTTTCTTGTGCAGTGCCACTTAAATATGAGAAGAGAGCAATAAGGGGGAAGGAAGGTAGAGAAACTGTTCATTGAAGGTCAGATTTTGAAGGCCTTCTAGAAACTTAGAAGTGAAAAGATGAGTATGATAATACCTGAGTCTGTATGTCGCTAACGGAAATACTAAATGTTGAATAGATGAATACAGTATGTTAAAGGTGACAGCAGGTTGATAAGAGAAACAGATGAGCATAGACTCACAGATGATAATTAGCAAAACTCCCCAACAAAATACATTTCTTGCTAGTGTTCATGTTTAAATTGTTGTAAGCTTAGCTAGACTGGCTTTCTTGTCCTTTCCCCCCTTTCCTCTGACTTCTTCCTTAATTTCTTCATGAGTTTTGTGTTTGAAAGAAGAGGCCAAGAGGGAAGGGCCTTGTAAAGAGAATGGGCTTTAAAAGGCAGCAAGTATCAGATATGCACCAGAGAAAAAAAGAATGCTTTCTGTTGTTATAAACTGCATACAGTTGGCAGAAACAGAGTTCACGTTCCAGTTATACTTACATTAGAAATAGATTTAGGTAAAATTTCTAAGGTGGGTAGGCTGGAGAAAATAGTTGAGTGAAAGGTAGAATATATGGAGAGAAAAGGCCGGGGGGCATCACGTGGAGACAGGCTCCAGGAAAGAGGAATGTCCAGCAAGATGAAAATGACCAGTTTTGTGATTTTTTTTCTCCTGATGCAGATGGAGAGCTCCCAGCTGATCCACTGTCGGGAGCTTGTGGCACATCACCTTTCCACTCCGGAGTCTTCCCTGCCTCTAAATTCCGTTTATGTCTACCGTCCCCTCAAGCACACCCTGGTGACCTGTGACAAAGGAGTGTTCAGATTACCTCCCTCCTGTGTCCCAGGCCCAGGTTTCTCCAAGGACAGCAAGCCCGAAGTGCCAGTCAGAGGTGCAGCAGCTCTCTACCATCATCTCCCAGCTGCCAGCGGGTGCAAGCATACCTCTGCTAAACGTAAAGTAGAGGAAATGGAAGTGGATGACTTCTATGATGGAATCAAGCGGCTCTATAATGAAGATAATGCGTCAGAAAATGTGGGTTCTATGTGTGGCACTGATTTATCAAGACAAGAGGGGCCTGCTTCCCCTTGTCCACCTTTGCGGCCTGTTTCTGTCATGTAGTTTGAGCAGGTGTTACCTTCAGGTGCAAACTAAGGTAGACAACTCCAGGAATGAGAACAAGGGAAAGGCAGCAAGCCTATGGATATGTACCTTACCAGGCTGATCTGAAGTGAGCCAGAAACAAACCCCAGCCCATTGACCTGTGTGGCTAATTTTAATTGAACACTTCACAGAAAGATCACTATATAGAGATAGATACGTATGTCTATCTGTATCTACTTTAAAATACCCAAAATATTTTTAAAAAGTAAAAAAAAATCCTTGTAGTATGTCAGTTCTATTCTCTGCTAAAATGTAATGTAGTTTGCCCTGTGTCAAATTTACTTTAAAATTCTAGAATTCATAGCTTGCAAATCCTGTCCCTGGCGTCCAAATTTTCCTGCTGCTTTTGCCTGCGTCTCCATGGAATTCTCATAAATTTTATGCATGTTGATCTATACCCCAACATCCACTGAATAAGAAGCCCTCCCCTACAAAATTTTTCAAGCATACTTGACATTTTCCTGATTCAAATTCTAAGTAGTTTGACAAGGAAAGTACCTTGGATTGTCCCACATGAGGCAGAGATGGTAATAGAACGTTTACATGACTTTTGTTGTCGCATTTCAATTTGTCATTTGAAAGCAAAAATCACTTTTATCTCTTGAAATGATGTATAATTAGGACATCATAGATTTGCTGAAAGCATTTTTGACATTGTATATAAAAGAATTTGTGATAAAGTTAATATATCAAGGTACTCACCAAAGAAAGAATTAAGTTTTTGTAATTGATGAGTTTTCACTCATTTATGTTCAGTAAGAGACTTGATTATCTAGATGTTGGGGCTGCTTTAACATGTAACAACTAAATTCAGTATCCTAGCTTTATGTTAAGTATTGGGATTTTCTGATAAGTTACTTCTGCTGTCTCCCCAACCCATCTTGGTTCCCCTTTAATGACTCCTGGATCCTGTGCTCCCTTTGCAGTCTGAAGAAGGCACTGCAGTCAGAACCATGTCCTGATGAGAAAAGCCTCTGGTAGCAATAAAAGTTGTCCTTAACCTCGGTTCTCTCTTTTTTCTGCTTGCTTCGGGATTGCTATTTCAACCAGGAAAGCAATCAGGAGTCAGAGTCACAAGCCTGCTGATCACACACACAAGGATTTGGATGCAGCTGAAAGGTTGTACAGAAGGATTATACCTTTACAGTGCTTTCTCTTTCACATGTCAGCTTCTCCTCTTTGTGGAGCTCTTTTTGGAAACTCACGTGGTTTACTACCTTGTATGTAGTTCAACCACATGTGAGGAGGAAGGCAAAGAAATGGAGGAACTCTATATACAGAATCAGGCTGGCCTCACAGTGTACAGTGGCTATTCAGGTCTGTAGGAGTTCAGCATCAGAATATCTCATTTATAGTCCAGTAGTTGCAAGTTGAACAGATGTTATAGTACAATAGGATTTTTTCTTGCTCTCCCTTGATTTTCTAGTATTAAAAATTTGGTCATTGATTTGGAACCTAACACTGTGTTTAGGGAACATGAACCCAAAGGGGATAGATGGACTGCTGGCTCTTCCCTTGTGGTTTATCTGAGCCCAGTTCTGTGATGGCACCTGGGAGATCTGACTCTTGGGAGCATCCTCTCAGCTGTGCCTTCCCTTCCTCAGCCTGCTGCAAATCCTTGTAACAAAAATGAAAGAACACACTCTGGTCCCAGTGATCAGGAGATCCTGAATGCTTCATTCTCTGGAAGGCTTCTGTTGGCCCTACATTAGTGAGAAGGGCAGGGCTGGAAATGAGAAGTGCTCCCAAATGCCAATACAAGATGATGTATCATGGGTTTGTCAGGTTTTCCCCCTTCCCCTGTGCCTTTAGCGCTGAAGGAAGCTGAAGGGTAGCTCTGTTCTGACAAGCTGCACATTTACTGTTGAGAAAATGAAGACGTTGGGATGCTTTCTCCTGTCAGAAATGATCTCTGTAGTCTCCACATTCCTGGATCTTCCAGCTGTGACAATTTATTCATTTTGCGGTTTCCTGAAGCAAGAAGGCAAGTTATGCTTAAGCATTATTGCCCAGAGTAGCATGATGGCATTTAGCTTGAGACTGTGTGAAGCTACTGATCTTCAGCCAGAGCTGTGGTGAGCCAAGTTCCCCTTGGGTAATGTGTACATGCTCACCCTGAAAGGTGTTGTGCCAAACAGGCATCCTCTGGTCACCGTTAGCATAGGTTGCATAATAACCCCAAGCCTCTAAAATTGTTAAAAATATAAAGTCTCTTCTACAAACATTAAATACTGTAAGCTTTGGCCACTAGGTGGTGCTTTTGGGAAAATAAAGCTGTTTTTCTGGGAGAAATTTAAGGTACAGGCCTGTGCACGTGAGGTAAGACTTCCAGCATGATAGGTGTGGTAAGGAGCAGAGTAGCCTAAAAATGATTGCCAGCAGCCTCAATCCTCTGACTTGACTTTGCTTTTAGTTTGTGTTGAATATGATTACTCATTAGAACAGAAGCATATGATCATTTAGCACAATTTGCTTGATAAGTTTAACAGTTACTATCATGTTGATGAGCTTAGCAGTTTTTGTGATGTGTTCATATGAGATCCTGTGCAGAACTGACATTCCTCCCGTGGGACAGAAATTCCTCTTGCTATCAGGAGCATCTGGGTTTAGGAGTACAGAGAAGCTCTTTCTGTTGACTTAATGTGTTACCTTCATAGCAAAGCAGAAACCATAACTGCTGAAGAAAAGTGTTTTGAGTAATTCCAGACGTAAGGAACAGTTTTCTCATTTCTTGGAAATGTCCCATTTTCTTGAGGCAGTCCTAGGCTAGCAACCTCTGAAATGCGATGGCTGATGAATGACCAGTAGCTTTCCAGTGTCTTCAGAGAAAGGGCTTGCTTTGTTTTTCCTCCAGAAATCTATGAAGTTTACAAGACAAGCGCAATCCCAGCACCTGATGGAAATGAGGCCCATATTGTGACGTAGCGAGTCTGGCATCTCACATGACACCAGTTCAAGTCCTAGCTGTCCCATTTCCAATCTACCTCATTGCCTAGCAAAAGCAACAGAGGATGGCCCAGGTATTTGGACCACTGATATCCATGTAGGTAACCTGGGATAAGCTTCTAGACTCTGGCTGTTGGAAGAGATTTCTGTAATTCTTCCAAATCTTTTTAAAAAGCTATGTGGAGGAACCTGGCACATTGGCTCAGAGGCTAAATCCTTGCCTTGCATCCACAGGGATTTCTTAGGCGCACCAGTTTGTGTCCCAGCTGTTCCACTTCCCATCCAACTCCTTGCTTGTGTGTGGCCTGGGAAAGCAGATAGGCCAAAGCCTTGGGACCCTGCACCCAAGTAGGAGACCTGGAAAAAGTTACTGGTTCCTGACTTCAGATCAGCTCAGCTCTGACTGTTGCTGCCACCTGGAGAGTGAACCAGTGAATGGAAGACCTTTCTGTCTCCTGTCTCTAAATCTAAGAAATTCTTTAAAAAAAAAAATGTCAAAGAGGGAAGCAAATTTTAAGTGAATGTTTAAAAACATAAGTTGCAAAATCTGTGGAGAATGGGTTAAACCCAGCCCCATCATATACACTCTTGGGGTTCATGGGCCAACCACATTCTAGCTTCTTCGCCTAATCTAGGTGCTGTCACAGGTGCCACAGTGGGCTGAAAGGGCATTCTGTTCTCAGAGCTCAAAGTGAGGTAGAGATCCTGGGGACCTCATACAATTCCCACTGATAATCAGCTTAATAGCAAGGTTGGCCCAGGATGGCAAGTGAACCTCTAGACTCAGTATCTCCAGCCCTGGCTATGCCACTGCTTGCTAGAGATTGATTTGGAAGCCAGAGGGACTACAGGAATCTTAAGAACTTAAAATGAGCCACACCACCATCACCATCCCTCTCCAGGTAGAAAAATGGCAAGTCATCCACAAAACTTAAGTTTATACAGCAAGGTCATCATCTACATACTTAAATGACGAAAACCTGGAACTCAGTTTTTCAGATACCCGGAACTGTTTGAGCCAATGGTAGGCAAAACATGTAACATAGGAAACACTGATGTGATCAATTCTGCCTGGGAAAAGGTCAGGTCACAGTGGGATGCTTTGGCTTTGTAGCTTGGTATATTGATTCAGAAGGTCAGCCCTTTTAAAGGCAGGCTGTGTCTGCAGACCATAGACCACCCTTGTGTAAGCAACCAGAATCAAGCAACATCTGAAGATTGAAAAATAAAATCCGCTAGTGGCATGAGTCCTGTGGCTTGGTTGAGCCTATCTTCCACGTTCTCGTTCACTGTAAGCCAGGTTCATGATCGGTGATAATCACCATTGGATGGCTCCGCATCCTTTGGCAGGTCAGCCAAGAGAACTTCCAGCATCATCACTTACCAACACTTAAGGAACTGCCTGAGGGACAGTGCCATCCCAAAGGTGTCCATCTCAGAGCCATGGGAGGCACTGGCCAGCAGCATCAGGACAGTTTCCCTTAGGAAGACAGCCAGGATGAGGCTAACCTACTTTATAACCACTTAAGAACACTCTGTTACCACCTCCAAGGTGAGGATTCTTACACTCTACTGGGGGCCAAAACAGAAAAGGGGAAAAGTACAGACATTTTCCTATATTCAAAAAAATGCTCATTTGATTTTTAAACATGGGTCAAAACATAACCTTTACAATGTGAAACAATGTTTTTTTTTAAATATAAAATTGGGATGGAAATATTAATCAGTTGTGCTTAGTGGTTATAGTGGCTTTTGCACAAAGGTGACAACATGTCATGCTCGTGCAACGTGTGATTTTAGATTAGTATGCTTGTTATCTGTCTACTATGTGGCTAAGAAATGAAGATGGGAATACACAAAGCTGTAGACAAGATAATGGACATGGCTGTGACATATAAAAGCCAAGAATTTGATAGCTGTCCCTTAAGGACAGGAAACTGTTCCTGAGAGGTGAAGATTAACCTAGCCCTGGATATGGCTTGTCACTCCAAGGCCAGCATTGGAAGTGCCCACTGAGAGCTCGCGTGTTTGCTGGTGAGTGAACGTAAAGAGACTCAACAGTTGGATCCACAGCAAGTCTTTCTGCAGACATGGCAGGCTGCTCTCTGGGCGAAGGTATGGATTTGCCTGTGGTGCATTTCCAGTGGCTCAGGACTTCAGGTCCTGGTAAAGAACTGAGCACACAGTTTCACACCCAATACAAAGGCAGGGCTGGGCCAAAAATTTTTTAAAGAATCTTTAAATTGAGCTACAGAGGCAGAAAAGTCACCCACCCAATGCCAGTACCCATAGTCATGATTAAGACTGGTAGGTCAAAAGCCTTTCTTTCAATAGGATGGTGTGTGATTTAGTTGGATCCAAGACGAATACATAGAACAGAATTTTATGACTTCAACTTCATTTAAACTTCCCCTTGGAAGTGCATGTAAAACTGGCATAATTTGAACCAGAAATAAATTTAAACAACCAATTAAGTAAAAACCTAACCAGAAATTGTTTCCCCTCCCCCCCCCAACACAATCCCAAACTCAAAACAACTTATATATAAGGGATGCAGGTAACAGAAAAAGACAAATAAAATGACAATGGTTCCTGAATTTAAAGGAGGGATGCCCACTTCTCTCTGTCAAGAGGCAGATGGTCAGCTGAAAAATAAAAATATTGTATCAATAGGACACTCCAAAAAGAAAACCATGAGCTATCTCTGTTCATGCAATACTAAATGTTAAAAATAAAATTCCAAATACCAAAACAACCCACAAAAGTAACCAAAGGAAGGAAGACGTAGCTCCACTCTCTTGACCTGATGATGGCTGAGGACCCTGATGGGGCTGTTGAGGACAAGGAGGCCAGAAGTTAACACAAGGTCAAGTCGGTGGGTACCAGAGGTGGTGGTACGGCACCCCCTAGCGTTAGTGTACATGCTATTTTCAGACCATGAGCTCTTGGATTGGCAGCTTCAAGGGCATGACAGCTAAGTGAGAGGATCCTAGCACAAGGCCTTGGGACTTTTGCCCAAGTGCTCAGTTTCATTCAATTGCCTTTTAATGAATGTGATCACGGGTTACTATTCTGGGTAGTGACCAGTCAACTTCACTATCCACTAACAGGCAGTGGTTTTCAAACAGACATTGACAAAACATGAAACAGCAGTATGATTATTTGACCCAGACTTTAAGACTAGGAGGCGATGGTGGCAATGAGGTAACTCTTCCCCCACACGTGGGAACAGACAGCTCCTGCTCTTCTAATGCTCTATGTCCATTAGGAGAGAGTAGGGCTTGTCAACGGGATGGTTACATAAAGAAGAAGCTACAGAAGAGAAAAAAAAAAAAAAAGAAAGGTTCAGATTCAAGTGTGGATCTTACAGGCTTACAAAGAAACAAAAGGAGCTACTCCACACAACAAGGGTCCCCACTGGAGGCACAACACACTGGGCAGCAATGGGTCAGGTGGCAGGGATGGAGGAGGAGGCTCTGCAGGGCACTCCCTGTCCACCCCCCACCCAACCCCAGCCTGGGACAGGAATGGCAGTGAGGTGGCAGGCATGGTCTGTGGGTAAGGCCAGAGGATCTTGGAGAAGTCTGTGCCACTCAGAGGACAGCACTGGAAGCCCACTGCCCAAAGCAAGAAAGCATGAGCTTCTATTACCTCATTTGTCTCATACCCACAGTAAGCACGTGCACACACGCAGTATCAGGCAATGACTACAAAGAACTCACAACAGGGCACACAGAACCAGGTTTGGGTAAAAATATATTTTCCCCTGCCTTACTTCTTGGCACTAGTAACATATGCATAGGATGCCTGGCCACCCCTCTCCTACTTTCACAGACACCGCATGGCTGGGCACGTTGCTAAGGGATCATTCTCTCACTTGAAAAAAATGGTATGCTTCACTTCGATACAGTTTTTACTTTTTTTTTTTTTTTTAAAAAAGACAAGTGTCTAACATGCAGCTTACATAAATGACAATTCTGTATTAACACTGAAAGTGGATTACACAACAGTTTTAGAAAACACACCAGTTATTTTCAAACAGCAAAAACAACAAGAATCTAACAACTACAGTTTAAGGCATATCAGCATATATTTTCTTAAGATCAAGAAATAGACAAAGTTATAACGCTGTTCACAGCTTGATTTTTAAATTTATTTTTTAAAAATTCCCTTCATACCAACCAACACACTAGACCTTGTAGGTCATCATCCCGCTCAAAAGTCAGCACCTACGTGTCCTGTCCCTGGAGCAAGGACTTCTTTCTGAAAGCTGACAGAATGCCAGACACTTGCAATGGCAAATAAAGGGGAAAAAAAAAAAAAAACCACATGGGAACCATCAGCGTGGGTAGGGACACAAGGAGACAGTGTGGGGACGTAACTTGGGGACAGCTTGTTTGTGAAACACTAAGATGTCAGGAAAGGGAGGACACCACACTAAATCATTAGGGGGGTAGAGACAGCCTGTGAGTTGAAGCGCTGATGAGCTCCGAAACAGAGAAGGGAGGGCAGTGAGGAACCTGTCCCCACCTGGCATCTCCTTAAGTAATTCCCCTGGTTGAGATGCCCGTTTTAGACAAAATGTTGACCCATGAATTAGAGCCTAAGCTGGGAAGACAGCCTGAACTGCTAAGAACTCATTACTGCTTCCCCATCTTGTCCTGCAACCTACACAGCTAGAGCGATGGGTAAGTGATATCCAAAGGAAGCAAAAAGATAAGGTGGTGGGGAAGGGGAAGCCAGACCACATATCTAAAACATGGAAGTAGGGCCAGTTAGCATCAGGGAAAGCCCAGAAAGATAAGGAAAGAAAGGCAGGTGGCCACGATGGCAGCAGGGCCTAAGCCGCCTCCTTGATTTTCTATCCGGGAAGGTAGCAGGCTCTTACGTGAGCCTTATTTCCATCAACAGAGCAAGGGCTCTGCAACACCCTAGGGTGGCAGCCCGCTAAGTAGAACATAGGCTGGGGTAAGCCATGTCTACCTTCCACAAGGAGAAGCCACATTTCTGGGGGCCCCTAGGAAAATCAAAATGCATGTGTATATATTAAAATGTGGCCATTTTAAATATAGTTGTTTAAGTTATTAAACAAAGGCTCCTGAAATCATTACCTCCCCCCTTCGAGAGAAAGAAAAACAGAAATCCCAACCAGCCCATTTGTTGTCCCTAATTTTAGAAAGATCTCAATGGTTTCTGACTGCTGTACTTACATGCAAAGGCGAAAGCACATCCTGTTAGCTTTGAGGGGGTCATTTATTCCGTGCAGAGCCAAGGACTACTGTGAAAAAAGGCAGATACGGAAAGCAAAAGAGCAGCAGTAACAAACTAAACAGGGCCTGGCAGTGGTGGCAGAAAAGGGCCAGAAGCAACGCATTAAAAAAAAAAATCTCCCAAAGGGGTTTCTTTTGCCTGCCTACTTCCTGACTCTCTGTGACACTGACTTTCCTGTGAAAAAGTTGATGGGGCGGGGGGAGTAAATTTAGTCAACCATCATGGAATCAAAAAGTCAACTGGCTGTCTTTCATTGTTAGGTTGATTTTAGTGATGCAACACAGGTGTGTTTCTGTTTGTCATGAGGCACAAAAATGCTCAAACAAGCAGGGGGTAGAACAAACAAACCACAAATATTCAGGCTCTTGTTTGGGGCACAGCACATGAGCAAATGCAGCCATGGTTAGAATCAGCATGCCGGCGCTACTCAGCTGCTCCACAGCAGCTGTGGTCCACAGCTAGTACATCCAGACCAAAACAAAAGCAAGCGAGAAGAAAACCACTGGTCCAGCTGCTGCTGCCCCTGGCTCACGGTTGCAATCCCAGCTTAGCCTGGCCTGCAATGCAACCTTGGGCGTTACTCTAATTAGACCTAAATCGGTTCATGGGAAACCATACCTTCTTTCCTTTACTTATAGTGGAAAATGAAGGAGAAAAAAAATGTGCTTATGGGTAATTTTAAAAACTGTGCATGGAAAGGCAGGTGCAGTGTCTTATACTGTATTTAACTGAATGACTAGTGAGGGCCAAAAGGGAAATGTAGGGCAGAAGTAGCAGGTTCATGAGAAATGCCACCTTTCTGGTAAGCAACGGGAGACAACCGAATCCAGAGAGAAAGCCAGTGAGCAAGGGCAAGGAAATGAAAACAAGGAAAGGATCAGGATTCAGTGTGTGTCCTTTCCTCTACAAGTTAGGGAACCAGTCCCTGTCCGGGCAATTGGCTCAGTCCTAATCCTCCATGGGGTGATGGGACTAGGCCCTAAAGGAGCAGGGGGAGCTAGGTGTGCATGGGGCACAGGTGATGCAAACGCCATCCTGACAACCAGATGAGAAACAATGGCTGTTCCATTTCGTCTTCCTTTACTGCCAATACAGACAGGGGCCTGGGGGAGTTGGCTGTGAGGCCAAGTACCTGCTGATGGGCTCATGTGCTGGATCATGCTCTTTCATAGCTCTACCTTACACTGCTGATGCGGGCTGTGGATTCCACAGCAAATCAGAAGCATTTGTGGACGTGGTCTAGCCACGATCAATGACAAGTTCAATCAAAACGACTGCTCTGCAGGAGTCTCCCCGCTGTCCTCAGTAAGCACACAGAGGTATATGCAGGCCAGCATCCTTTCTGCAGGTGCACAGTAAGAAGGTCGGGGGAAACACCATTCCCTCCACCAGCAGACTTGTACTACGGGATGCTATGGGAAATCTTAGTCTGCTAGGAGATTGGGAATGCCCTCACACACCTGGTGACCATCAGCACCCTGGGCTTGGCCAGCCTTCAACACTAGCAGGTCTGAAGACTCTGCCCTCACCTCCCCACAAGCTCTGGCCACAGAATGTTAGTGATGAACATGAACCCCCACAGGTACAAAGTCCTATGGGAAAGCTGAATCACCACTCTGCCTACCTACACATCTGCCTCGGCCAGGAGGATGAGGAGAACAGACAGTGAGTGCAGGGACCATGTGGTCATGGAGACGAAGATCGGAGGCTGTGCCAAGTTGTTGTCATGGCTACTCGGGGGGTTTAGCTCAGCTGCTGAGGTGGTGACAGGTCTCCGTGGGAGTCGTGCAGGCAGCGTTTGACCCCCACTTGTCCTTGGTCCAAAGCGACATACAAGTAACAGGCATGCTTCTCACTTTCATTCGGTAGGCGCACAGAAAGCCAATCATGTCACTTTCCAGAAACAAGGTCCAGACGCACAGAGCTTTCGCTGTTATTCCCTTGTTCTGTCATTTTCCACCACCCAACAAAACATTCAGCAAAATGAGTTAAGAGTTACTGGTGTTTGGGGAAGGGTATAAAAAAAAAATCAAAATCATAACCATAACAAAACAAAAGGACACAGATGGCAGAGATACAATTATTACTGCAAAAGCAGGTGAATGCGGGAACATCCTTGGCTTGCCAGGCTTTATGTGAAGCTTGCACTGCAAGTTAAAAAACAAAACAAAACAAGTTAGAACTGATGGTAAATAAAAGAGAAAGGGGAATTAGGAGCACCAGCACCAGCACTCGGTGGCAGTGAATGCTCATGCAATGAATATGCGACCGACAGCCAATTCAAACCAAACATCCGAGGAGGCCACTGCACAAGACAGGCAAGAGCAGTTCTTCAAACGGAATCCAAGAGACGTGTGGTTAGTCTCCACTGGCAGGGCACTGCGAATGCACGAGTGACTTCTTGAGACCGCCGCCTGTTCTAGTAAAAGGATTGACTGTGGGGCCTTATGCTTTTTCAAAGAACACAAAACTATGATCTCACAGGCTTGGGTGTCAACATGAGTACCGAACAGGAGTTCTTTCACTTGGGAGCTGCTGAAGGAGTCAGATTAAACATACAATAACTGCCTTTGAACAGATGAAGGAAAGCACTAAAGGAGTTCAGGGATTAGAATACAGTGGGTGAAAAGACATGCTATCAAGCTAGCTGATTAGGACCAGGGGGAAAAAAAAAAAAACCAACAAAAAAAACGCCTGCTTTACAGAATTGCAGCTACAGCAATGCCAGGAGCTTGTCTCCTCTCTGGTATGAAGCTACACCAAGCCCAGGACCCAAGTGTCCAGGACAAGTTCAAAAGGTGCAATTTTATTTCTTAGCAAAAACTTAATAATAATAAAAAAAAAAACTAGAAACACAATTAGGTGGCTATAAAGTGTTCTGATTAGATATCAGGCATAGTTCTTAAGGACCAATTTTATCTTGAGATAGATGCATTTTGGCCAGCAAATGACTGCAGGCCATGATGAAACACAGGAACACTGGGCCTTGAGCACCATACCCCCAGGCCAGCCCACCACTGCAGTGTCTCCAAACACAACAAAGTGACTTGGGGACAGGGACAACCCAAAGTGGAGTCCTGCTAATGGCAATGCAAGAATTAGTTCCATCTTGTCTTAAGACATGTTAGATATGCTCATGCCACTACAGGCCAAAGGGGGAAAATAAAAAGGCCTTACCTACACTTAAACAAAACAAACAGAAAAAAGAAGCATCAGTAGGCTAGAACAAACAGGATTTAAAGCTATTAGAAGAAATGAGTTGCACTCTGAAGTGGGCATACAACAGGTTAATGCCTGAGCATCGCTGCGTCAGCTTCCTGCCTAGGACAAGGCCAGCTCCTGTGTGGCACAGGTGGCAACTCCTGTTGCTTCTGTTCCAGGAATGCTGAGTGACCGTCCTCCCTGGTCCTCCTTAACCATCATCCTCCAATGCCATGGGCAGGAGGAGGCGCGGGGTCCTAAATTTTTTTCCTTTCTACTTAAGGCTCTTAACTGGCAGCTGCTTTCAGGGTACAGCAGGCAAGAGTGTTTGGGAGGGAGGAAGGGGAGAAGAAAGGACGGATACCTAAGAGGTGCGCCCCAAAACCAGGTGCCCCTGCCAGGTTCAGCAGCTGCTGCCTTCCATAAGCCAAGTGCCATTAAGAAGTGTGGACACGTGAAGGACAGCATCCATGTGGACCTCCTGTTAACTGCAAGAACAATCCATTGGGAAGGCCCAGGATGAGAACCAAACAGCCTCGCACATTCAAAACAGCAAGGAAAACAAGACTTCCCTGTGATGGGGAAGCAGGTGACAAAACAGACTTTCTTCCCATGGAGGCAATACACAGCTCTGGGCAGCATTACTGCTTAGAGGCACATCCGCTGTACAGGAACAAAGTCTCTTTAACACTGCTGGTCTTGGGTAGACATGTTTTCCGTTTTAGTGCTTCAGGTTAAGGAGGCTTGTCTCTAGGATTCCTGGGCTGTGACTTCCTCCACACTCCCAGAAGCCTCTGTGTTTCAGCTCACACTCCTACTAAAACCCCTCTATCTGGACTGCCAGGAGTGCAGCAGCAGATGGCGGCCAAGAGTCGTCATCACTCCAACCCCTCCACAAGGGGACAATTTGTGTGAAGCGTCAGTCTCCTGACAGGCACAGCGAGTGAAGGGTTTCCTTGAACTGGATAATCATCCAGTGTCACTAAGCTCTGGGCCCTTACACGCCTTCGGTCACATGCACCCCCACACTTCCCTGTTCTGTCTGCGCCGGTTCCCTGTAGCCACGGAGCTTGCAAGGTGCTCACAGCACAGCTGATGTAAAGCTCTCGGAACACAACTAGGCCCTGTTGTTCTGCCCTTCACTCCTTCCTACGGGTAACGTCACGCAATTCCTGCGAACGCAGCTTCCCGGTCTTGACCAGGTCCACTTGACAGCAGCACGCAGCTCGGGACCAGGCCCCTGTCACCATGCAGACACGCTTCTGGGTGCTCTGTCCTTCAGCAGTGTAGCTCTCAGCCTGCTCCAGGACCAGTGCTTTTCTGATCCCTCAGTGGCTGGCTTTCCCCCTATCTCCACAAGGGAGAATCCAGGGAGGAGCTCTGGGTGTTTTCTGGCCACCAGCAGAGCAGAGCAGGTTGGGGTCAGGCACCTGGATTCACCACTGGGGCCACCATAACAGGATACCCTTAAAAGCCAAGGTGAGGCTTGAAAATGCCTCGTGAGTAATAACGGGCATGATCGAAGGGTTGCTAAGGGTGCTTTAACTGAATGGCCATTTAGAATCCATCCTGAAACAACTCCTTATCTCTAAAACTAAGCTGCTACTAGCAGCAATTCCAACCATGGGAACAGACTGAAAAACTGGCTCACCAAGGCTCACTCCACGTAGGGTAGGCAAACGACGTCAACAACCCTAATTCTACCATGTGCCTTATCACACAGACTGTCTCCTGGGGCTCATGAAGACAAAAGAAACCTGTTTCGCCCAAAAACCTTAAGTGCTGGTGTGGAAGCTGCCATGGGAGACAACACTTTCCTTCAGTCCTGATGACTTGCCTGGCTTTGATAAATTAATCTTTGTGTACCCTGGAAAAATACTTCTTAAGAAAAAAAAAAAAAAACTGTAGCATCTTCCCTGCACAGTAGAGAAAATATTTTTGCTTTATCTTTCCAGTCTACAAAGGGGCAGAGTAGAGGCATGCGGGAGGAGTAGGTGGTGGGAGGCCCCCGGTGCCCAGAGGTGCCACCGCTTACTTTTTCTTGTCCTTGTCTTTCTTGGTCTGCTGGGCCCCGGACTGCTGGGCCTGGGACTGCAGTAACTGAGCCGCTGCCTTCTTCTTCTGGAAGGTGTTCACCTCCTCTTCCAGCTCCTTCTTCTTGTCTTCCACCTTCTTCTTTTCTTCCTGGTGTGTCCGCTTGAGCAGGTCAAACTTCTCATGCAGCTGCAAAGAGAGGGAAGGCCCAGGGGAGGCTTGGCACTGGCTGCAACCAGCTCGCTGAGCTAGGCTGACCAGGAGCTGCTTGGGAACAAGTAGGTGACGCGGGGCTGCCCTCGACTCAATGTCCCTCAAGAGAATTAGCCATGTCTGTGTGCCCATGGTGGCAGTGGCAGCAGTGGGAGAGCCCGGCTGGAGAGCTACCCAGCATCTGTCCCTTATGGCCTTTTGTTCTCAGTTTCCCTGGCAGTAAAAATTATTTGTACTCTTCAGTGACAATAAGACACACATTCATTTTTCCAAGGGCAAAAGAGAAGATAGACATCGCTTATGATATCAGTTTAAACAATCTACCCTCGTGGTTAGAAAGTGGTTCCTTGCCCTTGGTTCCTTCTCAAAAAGCACTTACATAGAAATATACACAATGATGATCTAGCTATATTAGCTATTTAAATAAAGAGAGGGGCAAAAAAAAATGACTGGACCTTGATTCACTGAATTAGAAAAAAATAGAAACACAGAAAGAGAGAGGGGGAAGAATTCTTACCAGATAATTCTAGATCTCTTATTAAAAAGCTGGGCCAGTCCAAAGCCAGCCACCAGGAGCTTCTGCTGGGTCTCCCACACAGGTATAGAGGTTTAAGCAACTGGACCATCTTCCATTGCTTTCCCATACCATAAGCGGGGAGCTGGACTGGAAGTGGAACAGTCATACCTTGAATTGATTGGTGCCACAGAGAGGAGGCATGGAGGTTAGCATGCTATGCCACAGTGTCACTCCTGTAATTGTAAATTTTTGCCTAACATTCATGTGGTCTTCAAACCAACAGCAAATTAGGATCAATTTTCCTCTCTGCCTTGTTGTGCTTAATTTATTGAAATATTCCGTAAGCGTCAGCAGTCTTTACAGAGATGAATTAAAACAAGATATTGAGCTATAAGCTGAGCACATTAGATAATCATTATGTTCAATTAGAAGGAAACATGCTCAGGTCTGGCATGGTAGCCTACTGGCTGAAGTCCTTGCCCTGCATCCACTAGGATCCTATGTGGACATGGGTTTGTATCCTGGTGGCCCCACTTCCCATTCAGCTCCTGCCAGTGGCCTGGGAAAGCAGTAGAGGATGGGCCAAAGCCTTGAGACCTGCACCCACGTGGGAGACCCAGAAGCTCCTTGGCTTCAGATTGGCTCAGCTCCAGCTGTGGCAGCCACTTGCAGAGTGAGTCAACGATGGAAGCTCTTTCTGCCTCCCCTTCTCTCTGTAAATCTTTCAAATTAAAATAAATAAATCTTTTAAAAGAGAGACATGCTCCCTCTCTCTTCCTATCTCTATCTGATAATGTGTCATACTACAAATCCATGTAAACGTCAAGGAAGTTTGGCCTGGGACTGCGAACCAGTGAGGCCAGAGGGCTGCTGGAGAAGGGCTGCTGCCCCAGAAGCAGGGACAGAGCGCCAAGAACACGGTGTCACACCCGACCCCTGTTCCCCGGGAGTGTCCTGCTGGTGCCCCTCCACTGCTTGGCTCCCTTACGTGGCTGACAGGGGAAGATAGCCACTGTGCCCAGTACTACCCCTCACCCATTGAGCTTTGTCAACTGAGAACAAGTAGAGTTACAAAGACCTGGGACCAGGCCTGGGGACTTAAGATGCAGCTGTAGCATCAGTTGTCAGTCGTGAAACATTTCTGACCCTGCCATCTGTGAATTGGGTCCACCCTTCTGACCCACTCACTTCTGATGCATGGTCAAGTGAATGGGGCAAGAACGCGGATCACTGGTCTTCTCCAAGGGGGGCCATCTCCTGAATCAGGCCCGGAGCCTACCTCTTTCTCGGCCTCTTTCAGCTCTGCCTCTTTCTCCTTGACTCTCATCACGAACATCTGCCTCATCTCCTCTTCTTTCTTCTGCAGTTCTCCCAAGAATTCGTTCCTCTTGGCCTCATATGTCTCCTGGAGACTGGAAAATCCACAAAAATAAGCAATTTCACTTCACAGAATGTTTGGCCAGCTACTTCTCCAAAGTAAGTGAGGCTGCAACTTAGTGTGGTAAACGACATATAAAATGGCACTGGCTTATTTCTGCTTATGTTGTGGTGGGAAAGACAAATACAACCATGGACTTAACCAACCCTGTGTTGAAAGGACTGGGGGGAAATGCTATCTGTAATGAAACAAGTATGTACTTTTCCCCTTCTTGTTGCTATTTCCTTACAATATGGTATAGTGGCTACTTACCTAGCAATCACATGACATCACGTGTTGTTAAGTTATCCCAAAAGAAATTCATGCCAACAAGAGATCATGAGTAGGTTCCACACATCACTGAAACCGAATGTGGCTAATAGGCCTGTGCCCCTGTAATCTGAGACAATGCTGGCAGCACCTCAGGAGAAGGTGGCATTCCTCCCGAGAGGAAGGAACAGCTGTGACAAGGTCACAGCGGCAGGGGCCCCTGTGATGAGGTCATGTAGTCCCTGGGGAGAAGGTCTCGAGGGTGACAGCATCAGTGCCTCTTTCCACTTCAGTTCCCTCCTCCACCCCTCTAAAACAAACACCAGAAAGAGGGTGAAGCCTGGGGCAGGGAGTGACCCGGTCCAGGAAATGCATGGGTGCTCTAGAGGGCGGTAGTGAGTTCCTAACCTGCAGGCGAGGGTGCGCAGGTGGGAATGGGAAGACCAACAGAGGCGAGAGCAGGTGAACATGTTGGGATGCAGGTGCTCTGCCAGGGGACTGCATCTAGACAGGTCTAAGGACCACGCCAGGGCAGCCTCTAGCAGCTCTACTCCATGTTTTAAATGCAGCCTACACTGTGCACACCTGCTCCCCACCCCTCCCCCTGCGCCCTCCCACTGGGGACTACACACAGGCATCACCGCCCACAGCTGCACTCTCCACTGTCCAAACACCGGCAGGACCAGAGGGCAAAGGGCAGACACAGTGCACTCAAGGGAAGAATCAACTTCCGCATACACCCCTGCAGAAATCCTCTACTTGCAGGAAGGATTGAAACAACCCCCACCACGGGCTTTTAGACTCCTCTAACAAGTTCCAGGAGTGTCCAGCACTGTGGTGTAGTGAGTAAATCTACTGCCTGCAGCAACAGCATCCCATGCAGACCCCAGTTCAAATCCCTGCTGCTCTATTTCCAATCCAGGTTCTTGCTGATGTGCCTGAGAGAGCAGCAGAGGATGGCCCAAGTGCTTGGACCCCTGCATCCACACTGGGTCTACTGCCTACTCCAGGTGCTTTCAGTTATACAGAAGTGCTGGGGCCACAAAGAAGCAGCATGGGGCTTTTATCAAATAACTATGGGCCCGTTAACTGGTGGAGGCTCATAGCCCAGCACACCACACCTCACCTAACCACGACCTTACTGCTAAGAAGTCAGGAGAATCTTCTCTCCTTTCCCCCAGGAAACCTGACGTTGCTACAGCAACCCTGGACAAGCTCCTTCCTCCCCACTCCACACCTGGTGTGGCCACAGCACCCCACACCTGTCCCTAGTCGCCCAGCTCTGGGCTCTGACAAGACCAGATACTAACTGGTCATTGACATCTTTCCCATCAGCGATGAGGGGAACTTGGCACTGTCAGAAAGTGAGGCCCCTGCTCACAGGTGCCTCACCCTTCTAGAGCCTCCATTTGGGCCTCAGATGCCTTGGGGGGAACATCAGCTAGAGTGAAATGTGTCCAGGACCAAGGCGGCAGCAGCAGCACCTGCACGTCCTCCGGCTGCCCCCATGCACTTGCTGCCATCCCACAGGCGAGAACAGGCAGAGTCCAGCCACAGAGCCCTCTCACCTGAAGGGCTTGCTGTCGGGGTCCGTGTCCTTGAAGCCCATCTCCTCGAGTTTGCAACGCCGATACAGCTCGTAATGGCGGGTGTGCGTCTGCTCACGCAGGTCCTCCATGTTGACACGGATCAGCATCTCCCGGAGCTTCACAAAGTCGCAGTGGTTCTCATTCTCCACTACGAGACGCGGGGGGTCAGGGGAGAACCTCGGGGGCGGCCCTCGACCCCAGGGCCCCACACTCCCGCAGTCATCTGAGGGTCCCTCCGGCATGTGACCCGTCTGAGATGACCTGGGTGGCCTGACACACTCATTCTCTCCAGGAGGAGGCGTGACTCATGTTGACCGCCCACGTGGTCTAGCGCCCAACACTTCACCCCATAGCACTTGCCCCCTGCTCTACAAGGCCAGTTGCTGGCTGTGCCAGTGTTTTTATTCCACCTCATTTCCCTCTACCAATACCATTGTGAGGGAATTGATTTCTTGTAGAAAAAAATAAAGACACATTAAAAAAAAATCACATGTCTGTTGAGATCACAAAAGTGCTGTTTTTCCACATTTTCTCTCATGACCTCATCACCTTTATTCACCACAAATATGAGGACTGATGCCTCCTCATTTAACGTGAGAACTTTCTGGAGCCTCGCTACCTGCTCTGCAGTGCAGGTGTGCCTTCCAAACACACAGAGAGGACAACTGTGTGTGTGTGTGTGTGTGTATGGTGTGTCTATGTGTTGTGTGTGTGTGGTCTCTCTGTGTGGTGTGTCTGTGGTGTGTCTGTCCTTGCCCACTCTGACCTGTCTTGAAGCTAAGGACTGAGTTCCTATCCACAGCAGCCAACAGCGATTTGATCTTCTCATAACACTCAAACATTTAACAGAAACAACATTTAGTGGGGACGAGTTGACCAGAGGTGACGCAGGAGCAAATACGCTGGTTCCCTGTGGTGATTTCAGAGCGCCGACGTCAGGACTGCGACGCCTAAGGATGGGGCCCTCTCCCATCGGAACCTTCCCTCCACACTTGGCATACTGGGGTCGAGCCTGCAGCGCTTACCCACCTGACTGCTGCTGCTGCTGCTTCTACCCTCACGGCTGCCCAGTATGAGACCCACCACTCCCTCTGTGTGCCTAGTGAGGGGCGAGAGGAAACCTGGCCGCTCCTGGCCAGGGCTAAGGAGCGGGAGGAGTCCTATTCCCGAGCCGGACACATACCCTGCACCACGCCCCAGGGGTACTGCCTGGCCTTGGCCATCTTGTTGCCAATCTTCACCTCTTCGGTGCTGCCAACCACAGCAAACGGGAGGTGGACCTGCAGAGCAAGAAAAGCAGAGCGCAGTTATAGCCCTGACTGAGCCTGGCTGTTCCTGGGGCACCCTGGTGAGAGAAAAAAACAGCTGAGCCATAGCAAACAGGAGATCGCTCTGGGGGTTCCCTTCCTGTATCCCGCCTCCCCCACAACCAAATTCCAAATGTCTGACCAGGAGAAAGCTGTGGTTGTTTTGCAACCACAGCATCAGCCGGCTGCATCCCTAATCCAGAAAGACCAAATTCTCGAAAATCGGAAACTTTTCAAATTATCATGAGGTGGGAGAACTTAGCACGGCTTCACGTGACAGTTAAAATGCAGGGATACTTAAAAGTACTTAAAAGTACGTTATGAAGTGACCCCCATGAGCAGGTAGGCAGCCAGTGACTAAGGTGCTGTTGGTGCAAAGTCCCAGCTCCAGCTCCCGACACCAGCCTCCTGCTGCTGCACACCCAGGGAGGCGGCCACACCGGAGAGCTGGTTTCCATTTCCGGCCCCTGCATTCAGCTCCTCAACTGCTGTGAATATTGGAGAGGGAGCAAGTGGGTGGGAAAATTCTCCTAGCTGTCTGTCCAGCTCTCTCTCTCTATCTTAAATTTAAAAAATAAAAGGGGGAGCAGGGAGTAGGGGAAATAAAACAGTTTTCTAAGTTGCCTTCAGATTGCATCTGTGAAATATAAATTAATCATGTCTAGGCTTGGGTCCCATCCCCATGTATCTCAGGACACCTATGCAAATATACCAAATACCTGGGAACCGTGGCTTCCAAGCCTTTCAGGTAAGGGATGCTCAATCTGCATACAATGAGCTTGAGACACATGATGAGCAGCACACTACCTATTACGTGGATACTGAGCACCAGAACCAGGGCATGCATGACCAAGAAACTCAATGTGCAGCTGTATTTGCTTTAAATATACTTACATTCATATTACAAATAGGAGCGACATAACAGATTTGCCACTACATCTAACTGTAGGCCTTCAGTGAGGCTGTGTTTCCCTTTGCTTCAAGCTCAAATCTTCTTAAACAAAACAACACCTCCCTTTTGTCATGATGGATGCAGTAGAAGCAACCACTGAAGGAAAAGTATCTCTTTGGCATTTACTTTCTATTGAAAGAGAATGTTAGGAGTCACTTGAGTATATGGATTAATACTAATGACTGTAAAATTTTATGAAATGTAAATACAGATCACATGTTTTGGAGGAATTGTGACATATTCACTGGATTTCAAAGACCTACTATTAAAAGGGCACCTGGCATGATGGTAAGTGTCTAAATCTTCGCCTTGCAAGTGCTGGGATCCCATATAGGCACCAGTTCATGTCCCAGCTGCTCCACTTTCCATCCAGCTCCCTGCCTGTGGCCTAGGAAAGCAGTCAAGGACAGCCTAAAGCCTTGGGACCCTGTACCCACATGAAAGACCCAGTAGAAACTCCTGGCTCTGACTTTAGTTGGCTCAGCTCCAGCCATTGTGGCTATTTGAGGAATGAACCAGTAGATGGAAGATCTCTCTCTCTGTCTCTCCTTCTCTCTGTAAATCTACCTTTCCAATAAAAAAAAAAAATCTTTAAAAAGGGCTCAGCAATAACCTTCAGATTAAGCATATGTAGAAATGATAATATTTATCGAGCTAGGTAAGTTCTTGCATTTCATGTTTCTTTTTACTTTTTTTTTTAAACATTGGTCCCAGAAAATTTTAGATCACTCATTTAGATCACTTAAGACTGGCTGAGTTTTACTTGTGTCAAGCAGCCAGCCCTGTTACAGTCTGTTGACCACTACAGATTCCAGTCAGAAACACTTCAGCCCAGACTCCTGGCTCAAGGTGTTGAACCATATTTATCTTATGCAGGAGATGGTAGCCAAGACAACAACATCTTTTGCTTTCATTTATTTGGTACTTCGGTTCACATTCTGGGGGAAGGAAGGAGATAAATTCTATTTTTTTTTTCTGCTAGCAGGTAAAAATAAGACTTGAAATAGCTGCTCTGAGAATGACTATTTGGGGTTACTTGATCCAGTGTTCTTCCGCTAAGATAAGTTGCAAAGAAAAAGAAGGGCATTCTTTCCCACAAATAACTTGGCACAATCCTTGGTCCAGGATGCCCAAAGGCTATTCTATCTGACACCCGAGGTATTTAAATTTTCCAGTTCAGTTGCAGGAAGGAGAAAAAGTGCATTCTCTTGCACATGCCCAACTCCGAGGCTAAAATTGTTCCTGAAGGCGAAGAGCAACAGGACGACCCTGGCCAATGTGCAGGTGCCTGGAGAGAGAAAGCATGGCTCCACTCAAACAGCAAGCAGCCATGGCCAGTGGAACCTGCCCTGCTCAGGGCTCCCCACAGCAGGGGGCTTTACCAGCAAGAAGGGACAGCAGTGAAGAGCCAATGCGAGCACTTCTGCATAAGAAATGAAATGAACTGGGAATATCACAGGTCTTTGGCTCTGGGGCAGATGTTGGGTACAGTGAGGGGAACACCATTACCATTTTGGATGCTTGTACCCCACATCAGAGTGCCTGTACCCAAGTTCCACGACTCCAACTTCCTGCTACTTACACATGTTGCAAGGCAGCAAGTGACAGCTCAAGTGGTTGGGTCTCTGCCACCCACATGGGAGACCCAGAGTTAAGTTTCTTGTTCCTGGGTTCAGCCTGGTTCCCAACCCTGACTGAGTCAGCAGATGAAAAATCTCGTTGTCATTTTGCCTTTAATGAATAAATAAACAACAACAATAATATCATCTACCCATGGGAATGCTGTGAGGATTCAACATAAAGCCTTGAGCAGTGCCTGTACAAGGTAAATCCTCCATCAAAGTCAGGAGTACCGGGAGTTACTATTACCATGAAGCTCCCAGCAGCCATAAGAAGAGAAGCCTACAGGTAGAAGAGACCTGCTCACTCCCCTAGTTAACTCCTGCATAAAACATCCCCAATAATATCGCTCTGAAGTGGGCTGAGCCACTGAGAATGTGCAGGAGCCCAATCAGCTGACCCGTGATGTGCTGCTTTTATCACGAGGGCTTTCAGAGCTCAGCATGGACATTGTCCTCACTGCTTGCCGGCCCGTTGGTTTGGGTTCTTCTGAATCATTCAGGCCATGTCTCCTCAAGGCAGCTTCCTCTTCTGCCACCTACCATCAATTTCATAGGAAGAACTTTCTCTGTGGCTGTCGCCGGAACCTATACCATCCTAGGTCCCCATAAGTATCAATGGACACAGACTGTGTGCAAAGAATGGTGCTTCAATTAAAGGCTGGCATCTCCTGTGGCTGAGAGACAAAAGAGGCATGGGCACCAAGACGGGGTGTTCACCAGCAGAGGTGACCTCACCAGGGCACACAGCTCCACTGCAGCTTTAATCATTTACCCGCTGCCCAGCTCCCGACTGTGATGTGGAAATGGAACCCTCAACTGTGAGTTTATCTAGTGAGTCAGAAAAGGGTGGGAGTGCAGGAAGCAGAGAAAGGCAGGGCCAGTCACTGAAGCACAGAGGAGGCGGGCAGATCTATTTCCACCAAGACCTGCTGCTCCCAAGCTGCTCCGTGGGATAGAAACGATGCTACGGTTCGCCCCATGAAGACTGGTGCAAAAGCTGCCACTGCTGGAGTGGGCAGGAAAGGCTTTCCAGAGAAAAAACATTTGTTATCTCAGAAGCGGAGCAAAGAGAGCAGATGTGAGACTCAGAGTCCTTCCATCTGCTAGTTCAGTCCTCAAATGTCCACAACACAAGGGTCTGTGCCAGGCTGAAGCTGGGAGCTGGGAGCCAGGAGCCAGGAACCTAGCTACCTGAGCCATCTTACCACCGACTCCCATAATCTATCCCAGCAGGATATCTATCCCATAATCTAACCAGCTGGAAGTAGGGACCAGGAATTGAATCCAGGCAGGTGAATCAAACCTGCCAGGCCAAATGCCTGTCCCAGACAGGAAATTTTGCATCCTCTAGCTTAAGCCTTCCATGTGACATATGTGGAAACTGAGGTACCAGCTGGTGGAATGATTTGCAGTACTGGTGGAACTGGACGACAGCTGGCCTTGGTCCAGTGCTACAGCCACTCTATAATGCTGCCACAAAGAGAAGCTCTCAGGAAAACCTCGCATCACATGAGGACTTACGCTCATTGTCGCATTAATCTCTGCCACAGTTTCTTCATCCGTGGGGAACTGGTATATCTGGACCCCGTTGCTCACTAGTTCACTCATGATCTTACTCTTGAATTTGTGCAATTCGTTCTTGGCAATGGTGTCGGCTTTTGCAATTATCGGAATGATGTTAACCTGCAAAAACAAACATGTCCATTTTCACAACTGAAAATTGAACTAGATGCAAAAGGAGGTTGACATCATACAATCTTTTGGTTCCACCTCTGAACACTCTCACTTCCTCCCAGCCTACACTGAAAAACGCGTGTCATTTCCTCTCCTTGTGCCACCTCATTCCTGTGTGCAGAGCTAAGGAAATGTGATTATTCTGTGACAAACAGTGCTAACAAAGAAGCCCTTTTTTTGAATAACCAACCACACCCAGCTACACTGGGGGCCTGAACTTCTGCTCACCCCAGCAATGTGATCACAGCACGTGTATCAGCAGGACTTTTGGACTGTCAGCCCTTCTTAGGACAGTATCCTTTCCCTGTCCCCTCCTCCCGAGCACCTGAAGCACCAAACACACATGTTGTTACCGACTTTCTCAATTCTTCAAAATCACACCCACTGATGCTTATGAGAGCCGGCTCCTACAGAATTACTCTTTCACACCAGAAAGAGACCCCGCGTGGCCTGGGCAGGGCTCACAATCAGGGCTTTCGTTCCATGGGACAGGAGAGAGCTCAGAACTTGGTGCTTATCGCCTAACAGCCGCCAGCCCTACAGCACAATTTCAATTTCAAAGTGTCCTCAGCAGCAGCCACTTGACAACTGTTCCTTACAGGCTCTGCCCTTCACTTGCAATTCACAAGTGGGGAAGTGGAAGGACTGTGAGCGCATCTGGTCTGGTCCTGCCAAGTCAACCACAGATGAAACGCAAAATACACTAGGCTCTCCAGCAGGCTCATTCCTCAGTACATAATTTTACATGGCTCACAGATGATGTTATAAATACCCAAATGGCCCTGGGCAGACAAAAGGCTGCCCACCCCTGGATCTAACATGGACAAGGCCAATTTTCCTGTCCTACCTGTGCTTGGTATGCCAAATCAATTCCATGAAACACAGACTTCTGGTTGGGTTTGCACCAGGGTTGGGCTTCGTCCCAGGCACTGAGCTAGGAAGGCCATGCTCACTGAACTTCCTTGAGTGTGTGTATGCTGAGCACAGCACAGCCGCTCCAGGCCCCAGGACCCGCCTTCATGATAATAGCAGGGCAAAGTGCCTTTGCAGCCGCAAGCCCCCTGGCTCACAGGGGCCAGAGCGCCACAGCTGAGATGGCAGGAGGCAGGGCTTCTGTGGATTCTGTCCAGAATGACCCGTTCTTGTGCTCCGCAGCTCAGCATAAACCGGCCAACCGCCCCCAACCAAGTCCCAATCAGATTGGAGGGGGGGTCCAGGGACAGGTGGATCTTGGGAACTTTCTCGCAGGATTCTATGCCCCTGCAGAGAAGGTAGCTTTAAAACAGTGCTATTTACACACAACGCCCCAAAAGGGCTCTGTTGTCTGCTAAGACCTTCCATCACAAACAAAAGACGGGTGGTAGAGAGAACGCTGCTGAGTTCAGGACCAGGCCAGGTGGCCATTTTTTTTCTTCACTATTTCACAATGTGCTGTTGTTTCAAAATGGAAGATCAGGTGATTTTATGAAATGTATCAGTCTCTTCCATCAGACACTGGGAAGAAATAGGAGGTTATAGGTGTGCTGAGTCAAGGAGTCAAACTACAATAAAGTCTTTATTACTTTTGAATGCACGCACATGGTTCAGTTTTAAAATCTAAGAGACTGGGCCATCCTTACCCCATGGGCAAAAAAAAAAAAAAAAAAAAAAAAGGACACACAACTTCGGAGCTGGTATTATGGCACTGTGGACTAAGCTGCTGCCTGCAATACCAGCATCCCCAATCAGAGGGCTGGCTGGAGTTCAGCTGTTCTGCTTCTGAGCAAGCACCAAAGATGGCCCAAGTGCTTGGGCTCCTGCTACCAACGTGAGACACCCAGACTAAGGTCCGGGCTCCAACCCAGCATTTAAAAAAACAAACACAAAAGCAAAGCAAAGCAAAACAAAACAAAACAAAAACCACCTGGGGGCAAGTGCTGTGGTGTAGTCTGTAAGCTGCCACCTGCAGCACTGGCATACCATATGGTGAGCCCCAGCTGCTCCACTTCCTACCCAGCTCTCTGCTAATCTACCTAGGAAAGCAGTGAACGAAGGCCCTGCACCCACATGGCAGAGCGGAAGAAAGAAGCTCCTGGCTTTAGACTGGTCCAGCACTGGCCACTGAGGCCATTACGGGAATAAACCCGTGGATGGAAGATAGATCTGTGCCTTTTCTCTCTCTCATTCTGTGACTCTGAATTTAAATAGATCTTTAAAACAAAAAAAAAACTTCTTCCATCCATAATTAAATCAAAACCTTTAAAAATTGATTAGCGATCTAAGAAAAGTTTTCTTAAGAAAATACATTTTGAAATTATACTCCAATTTTCATTTAACAACAAAAAAAACCTTTGTAGTGTCATGTGACTTCACTTGTTTGCCACTTTTGCTTTGGCCTGACATGTAGAAGTACATTTTTCTCACATGACCAAGCCCTGCGGTTCCATAACCAAGAAGAAACAAATTACATGGAAGGTGGAGACTTGGGACAAAGCGGACCTCAAAGAGGAGCCAAGGACAGCGAGTACCTTACTGTCCAGCTTCTTCATGGTGACCAGGTCCAGAGACTTGAGCGAATGTCCCGTCGGGGCGATGAAGTAGAGGCAGGCGTGGATCCGCGTGTCATGGTAGTTGAAGAGGGAGCGTTTAATCTTCAGCTCCTCTTGCAGGTAGGCCTCGAACTGGGCATCGATGTACTCCACGATCGGCTTGTAGCTAGAACGCACAAGAGCGTTTCAAAGACACGGTTTCAGCTCAGACAGCTCCATCCTCACCCACTCCTGCAGCTTGGTGAAGCCAGTCCTGCAGCGAACATCATCACTGTTCCCTCCTCCCTGAGAGCTAGAGGCCAAGTGCCTCACCTGATCACCCAAAGCCCCAGCCCTCCGGTCCCCAAACCAATCCTCACGCTCACTCCTCACTAAGCTTACCTGTCATTTATCTATCCCACTCCCCCAACCCCCTCTTCCTGTCCCAACAACATAAAAGCATATGTGGGGATGCGGGGTACGGGTGCCCTGACCTCACACTCAGCTTGTCTCTGGGCATTGGCTGGCCCGCGGGCAGGAACAAGTTTCTCCTCAGGCTCTCTGGCTAACACTCACCCTTCGCAACAGCAATGACAGGAAGTGCAGCACACCACCATGGCCCTGGCCCCCGGGGCCACCCGAGCAACGTTTGGGTAAGAGACCAAGGCATTCTTTCCAACTAGGATAAAACTGAGCCTCCAAGCCCAGTGATTGTGGCAGCCTCTCCCAACTGACTGGCATAAGCGCCCTAAATCAAATGGCTTTGGGATTTCAGGATGTGGCATTGCTCTGGCCTTGGACCCTATCCCTGGGCCCGGACCTCAGGCCTCCAGAGCCAAGGGGCTCTGGGCTCAATTTCATCTGAGTCTTCCGTGCAACTGTCAGGGGCCCAAGTACTAGGGCCAACCTCCATTGCTTTCCCAAGCACATTAGCAGGGAGCTACATAAAATGTGGAGTAGCCAGGGCTTGAACCGACGACCATATGGGATGCTGGTGCATCAGGTAGTGGTTTAACATGCTACATTGCAGCACCAGCCCCCAAAATCTTATGACTTATAGGCAAACTTACTTTCTTCGCCTGTCTCAATCAATAGTTTGACTCTGCTATGGATAATTATACATGAATCCATTCACTGACCAAACACCGTCACCAACAGCCTCCTGTGAATCCAGGGTCACTAACCACACATTCGCCAGGAGTAGTGTGTGTGCCAGGACACTGAGAAAGCCAGGGACTCCTTCAGCTTTACAGGGACGATGACTCAGGGCAAGTCCATTTCAGCAGCCAAAAGACTGGTCCACTAGGAGCAGCAAGGGTTATTTATTCACCACAAACTCAGTGCCTTTCGGATGAATGATTTGAAGATTTACTTATTTTTATTAGAAAAGCAGTTTGTCTGCCCTTTCTTTGTTGTTGTTGTTGTATAGAGAAGGGGAAAGATCTTCCATCTGCTGGTTCAGTCCCCAGCTGGCTGCAATGGCCAGAGCTGAGCCAATCCAAAGTCAGAAGCCAAAAACTTCCACTGGATATCCCACATGGGTGCAGGATCCCAAGGCTTTGGGCCATCCTCCACCGCTTTCCCAGGCCATAAACAGAGAGCTGGATCAGAAGTGGGACAGCCAGGACACAAACTGGCACCCATGCGGGCTGTCAGCACTTGAAGGTGGAGGATTAGTCAATCAGCCATTGTGCTGGGCCCAGGAATGATTTAAATGATTTAAACTGAGAACATTTTTTAATACACAAACTCAAAATTCATAAACTAAACTGAAATCTTTCAAAGAGAGCAATAACTTTTTTGATAAGGGTGACAGTAGATATCCTAAGAGAAAAACAAAAAGCTCAAATATCAAACACAGATCTATGCTCAAACCGGACAGCTTACAGCCCATTGCTATGGTATATCAGGCTAAGGCGCCACTTGCGATGCCACCATCAGAGCATTGGATGGAGTCCCAGCTGCTCTGCTTTGGCCTGGCTCCTTGCTATTGCACCTGGAAAGGCAGCAGCAGATGGCTCAAGTGCTAGGTCCCTGCCAGCCGCCTGGGAGAACAGGCTGGAATTGCTGGCTCCTGGTGGGGAGATCTTTCTCTTTCTTTTTCTGCCTTCCGCTCCCCGCCCCCGCCCCCCCGCTTTCATTCATCCTTTTGAATTGATGATGATGATGATGATAAAAGAAGAAGCTGTTGCTAAAATGTTTTGTGATCATACAATTTTTTTTTGGTTACTTTTATCAAATTCCATGAGTTTAATCTTGGCAGACAAAATCTCTGTAGAGATTTTTATTTTTAGTATTAAAGAAAACCTGTTCTTTCCAAATCATTGCAAACAAAATTCTAATGAAAAGGGCAAGTAAGGGCCCAAGCACTTGGACCATCTTCAGCTGCTTTCCCAGTTCATAAGCAGGCAGCTGTATTGGAAGTAGAGCAGCCAAGACTTGAAACAGCAGCAAGATGGACCGTTTGCACTGCAGGCAGCAGCTTGGTTTGCTGTGCACAACATCAGTCCTAAAGAGATTCTTCTATATTTTTCAATTTTAAAATGAAGACATGTTGGGGCTGGCATCATGAGGCAAGGAGTTAGGCCACAGCCTGTGGCACCAGCATCCCGCGAACACCAATTCTAGTCCTAGCTGCTCTGCTTCTAACCCTGCTCCCTGCTGATGGGCTGGGAAGGTAGTGAAGACAGTCTCACCCCTGGAAGGCCCAGAGGTGGTTCCTCTGATTTCTGCTTCTGGTCATCTGTGAAATTAACCAGCAGATGGAAGAGTCTCGGTCTTTCTTTTTCTCTCTCTCTTCCTGCCTTTCAAATAACATAAATCAACAAATACTAATAAAAATAAAATGTAAGCATGTATTACATAATAATGATAGCAACTATTACTATGGGATAAATAGAATGATGCTTAGAAACACCAATTCAAGTTGAAGATCAAAACCCAGCTGCCCAACTTCCTCCAGCTATGTGGCTTTCAGCAAGTTGCAAATTCTCTGTGGGTCTCAGTTTCCTCATATGTAACCAGGGACAAAATAGTTCCCTGAGAGAACTACCATAACAAAAGAAAAGAGCTCCATACTGTACAAGGGTAGTCAAAAACCTCATGAAAAAGCAAAATTAAAAGACAAGCTGACACTGATGCCAAATGCAGTCAGTCATTTTCCATGGTTTTTTCAAAACCCTTTATGGGGCCCGGCAGCATGGCCTAGCAGCTAAACCCTTGCCTTGAACGCACTGGGATCCCATATGGGCGCCAGTTCTAATCCTGGCAGCTCCACTTCCCATCCAGCTCCCTGCCTGTGACCTGGGAAAGCAGTTGAGGATGGCCCAAAGCCTTGGGTCCCTGCACCCGTGTGGGAGACCCGGAAGAGGTTCCTGGTTCTTGGCTTCGGACCAGTGCAGTACCGCCCGTTGTGACTAGGACTTGGGGAGTGAATCATCGGATGGAAGATCTTCCTCTCTGTCTCTTCTCCTCTCTGTGTATCTGACTTTGTAATAAAAATAAATAAATCTTTTTTTAAAAAAAAAGTTTTATGCATCAATCTTAAAAATCTTTTCATAGGGCCTGGCTCAATGGCTAAAGTCCTCGCCTTGCATCCGCCAGAATCCAATATGGGTGCTGGTTCTAATCCCAGCGGCCCTACTTCCCATCCAGCTCCCTGCTTGTTGGCTGGGAAAGCAGTTGAAGACGGCCCAAGGCCTTGGGACCCTGCGTGTGTGGGAGACTCAAAAGAGGCTCCAGGCTCCTGGCTTTGGATCAGCTCACCTCCACTGGGAAGTGGACCAGAAGATGGAAGAGATTTCTCTTTGTTCCCCCCTTCTCTCTATAAATCTGATTTGCCTTTATAGTAAAAATAACTTTTAAAAAATATTTTCATATCAGTATAAATTCATCTTTTGATTCCATTTCCTGTACTTTCTTGGAAATATATCTTCATGAAAACAATTAGCACAAAAATTACATACATGTTTCATAATAATAAATAGAATAAAAGATCCTAAAAATAAAAATGAGTTGTTTTTTTTTTTTACAGTTTCCCCAAAAACGGAACTCTCTGCTCACACAGTTTCCTGGTCACTGTCCACCCATGATTCATTGTGCTGCACTTTGGGGAAGCGGTTGCCACCACGAGGTCCACCCCATGCCTGGGTAGGACTTGAGGCCTGGGGACCAGGGTCCTGCCTAGCATCTCTCAGTCCCAGCAGGAAAGCGGCTCATGGCCCTGCTGGCTCCTGCCTGCCCAGCATCGGATCTGGAGCTTCCGGTGCCTAATCCTCCTCCCAGTAGCATCCCAGTGTGTTGCTGCTTTCCATCCATCTTCCTTCTTCCTCTGGTGGTGATTCTAATCCTCCCAGGATGGGGGGCGAAACACAGTATGTCTCCTGGTCCAGCGAGGACCACTTCTGGCATTGGGTCCTCTTCTGCCCACTCCCACAGGACAGCACAGGGCCAAGCACTGCATCTGCTGTCTTCTCGCTCTCCATGGTAGCATTGGCAAGGCACATGCCCTGCTGCCTTTCACTCCCCGTCTGACGACAGGTCACAATTCTTGGCTCCAGCTCGCCTTCTCTGACCCTCAGATCCCACCCACTCGATTTCTTCTGAGCCACTTCCAATGGCTCTTCTAACTCAGTATGTCCCCAAGTCACTGTTTGTCCTACACTCCTTCCTATGACAAATGGTTCCACTGTTCACATCCCCAGCCAAGTTAAGACCCTGGGATTCAGTGTTCTATCCTCCTTCTCTCCTGCCTTGCCCTCACAGTCAGCCATGAAATCCCACCTACTGGGACCAACACCATAACGTAGGCTAAAGCCTATGCCTATGGTGCTGGCATCCATAGGGGCACCAGTTTGGGTCCTGACTGCTCCACGTCTCATCCAGCTCCCTGCTAATGGCCTGGGAAAGCAGTGGTAGATGGCCCAAATTCTTGGGTACCTGAACCCATGTGGGAGACCTGGAAGAGGCTCCTGGCTTCAGCCCAGCCCAGCCCTGGCTGTTAACAGCCATTTTAGGAGTGAATCCAAGATCTCTTTCTTGGAGTCTTCTTTTCCCTTGGTAACTGCGTTTTTCAAATACATCGATCTTGGGGGGCAGGGGGTGGATAGAGAAAGAAAAAAGAAATCCCACTTATTTCACCTCCTCTATCACCATCTAGATATAAAACACAAGAATTCCTGGAGGAAG